TATCACTAGAATTTTCCACCAAGAGTCAACATCTATTAAGCACCCCATGTTCGTCTTTTCTAAGGGCTTCAGGAGCATTATCTCCTTTAATCCCGGTAAGCCTAGGAAGTAGTCTATTATTATCCCCGTTTCCCCGAGATAACTTCGGGAGCCAGAGTTAAATAACCTTGCTTGAAGTCTGAGAGCTTGTAAGTGGCAACACGGGACAGGATTATCCAAAGCTGACTTCCAAAGACTTCCAAAGCCGAGCTCCAACTGCTTCTAACTTCCCAATACCAAGTTGCTGAGGTCAGAGGCATCTAAATCAGCCCTTATTCTCAATGTCCATGCGGGGGGGGGGGGGGGGGTGTCTCTCAGAATGACAGCAATCGTACATGAATGAGAACCGAATGCCTGCAAAAATGGAAGAGTATTTTATTTCAGATACATTACTATGTTAAATGTTTCTGAAGCTTCCGTGTGTCTTCACATTAATTAAAATGTTCAGACTAAGAGATGTCAAAATAACAAGTGAAGCAAGATTCAGTCAGCGCCGCCTCAGCAATGAAGTGGGAAACTCCTTTGAATGGATCCCTCGGCGTTGAGAAAAATGATACTCTCCCTGATGGTCCTCTCCTTTGACTCGTTCCTTCATAAATACACGGGTATTTGCCATGCCCTGGGACAGGGGAGAGAAAATAAAGAGAATAACCCTATTCTGGGACTCCTGAAATGGAGAGTAATATAGCCTCTTCTTTCAAAGGCCTTTGAGATTTTTGTTTGGGGGGCGACACGTAACTGTCCTTCTGGCAGGACAGGAGGCCCATATGTGGGGTCAGGGGCCAAGCCCAGGTCAGCTGTGTGCAATGCAAATGCCTTTCCCACGGTACTACCTCTTGAGTCCTGAAGTTTATTTCTTCATGTTCTCCTACTACTTGAGTGTCACAACTTTTCAAGCAAGTAAGTGGCATGGTAGAAGAGTGCATGTGTAATATTCAGCTGTAATTGCGATTTGAAAACTCAAGTTGTCTGATTTTCTTTGGAACTGTAGCCTGCTGTTGACAGGGATCCGGGAAGAATTGAAGTCCATGGTCTCCTGTGGTAGACATCGGCCTGAATCATCAGGTCTCTGGCAAACTGGCACAGAGGAATGGTTGATCATAGAGGATGCACTTCTTAAACACTGCCACCGAACTTTAACATATGCCTTGATTACAAGCAAAGTCAAAGTCCTGAATAACCTGATACCACGTACACTTCTAGGAAAGGAGGACTAGAACAGTCCCCTTCCCTAGAAGATTCTTGAGTTGACAGTCTCTTGGATGAGTGACATTATTTTGTTGATTATAAACAAAACAAGTCATTGAGTTCATAGACCAGCAGCAAACACTGTATACACACACACACACACACACACACACACACACACACACACACACAATTTCCAGAGTTTGGGATAGACCTCGACCCCTAAAATGAGAACAAAATAAGACCTTCTAACCACTCTTAACTTTGATTACTGCTTTCTTATACTAAACTTCAAATTGATCAAAACAGCACTCTTGTAGCAATAATTCAGGTTGGTAATAATTCAAACCCCACAAAACAAAGTTTAACAGTTGAGAAATTTTCAATCATAAGGTAATGAGATATGGTCCACAGAGCTGAGATCAGTGAGTGCTGGGGATGGAGGGAAGGGACTTGGGGTGGGGGAGCCTTCACACTCTGGGATAAGTCTGGTATAGCAGCACTAAACTTACAAAACACTAATACTGGGATGACTGCTGAAATAAAAACAGAAAAATTCTAGCATACACTGTATAATAACAAGGTGAGTTTTTTCTAAATCCATATCCTGTGGATTTAGAAAATAGATTTTTAAATATCTATTTTTAAATAGATTATAAAATAGATTTTTAAAAATCTCAGTCAGCATCACATCTGGCTGTGGTTCTACTAGTGTTGACCCATCATGAAAATAAAGCCTTCCAAATATTTAGAGAAACATTCACCAAAGTCAGTTTTATGTACTTTTAAAGTTTTTATTTAAAAAAAAATATTTTAGTCACCCTCCAAGTATGAATTCAAGAAAAAAAATAGAGCAGCTCCCAAAACTGAATAATTTCAATCATCACTGGCCAAGTTAAAAATGGCCAATCCAAAAGCAGATCACTCCTTTGCAAGATGCCCACCCTCTGCATCCCCATCAAGGGTACAGCGGGAAGTACTCACGTCCCGCTGGAAAGGAAATAATGCTGAGATTATCGCTCAGGGTGGGAACCACATTCTTTTAAGATTAATCACAAATACAAAAGGTGGAAATGTCCAAATTAGGTCTCCAGCACATTTTTGTGCCCATGGTTGCAAAAAAGAACAAAAAATAAATAAATAAATAACCAAAACAAAATATTTGCTGGTACAATTCAAATTTCAAGCTCTGTGGAGGGATGAAAATAATTGTGTAAATACCTCTTAGGGTTTTCTGAAGGCTAACAAAATGAAACTTGGGAAGAGGCATGAGCCTTGGGCCAGACCAACCAATTGCTTTTCAAGGCAGTAAACACAGAAACAAAAGCATCTCCACTAAAATAGGTTTTAAACTTCCAGCTCAGAGGGAAAAGAACTAAGAGAAAAGCAAAAGCAGAAAATGAACAAATACTTAGCAAACACTACCAGTGTGTGCTACAGGACCTTGCTTTGAAATTACCAGCTCTTAGGGAAATGGTACCGCCCCCTAGAGGTATTTTAAGAAACTTCTGGGCAGGGCATTTGAGGGTTGGAGGTTACCTACCCTCAGTTATGATGTAACAGGTACTATGTAACAGGTGGAGGCTCACTGCGTGATGTAACAGGTGGAGCTGGAGCACCGGACAAGCCTCTCAAGTCTGACCCCTCACAAAATAGAGCTGTTTCTCATCAACAAAGCTTTCAAGTGCCGACAAATATTCATGTAGTGGAAACCCAGTTTAGAAAGAAGTGAAGCTGTAATTTCCTTACATATGTATCTAAATACATGGGTAATTCTTTGCCCTGTTTTAATAAGATGAAAGGACATTTTAAGAGTGAATTCTGGGCCAGGGCAATAATAAAGCAGGTAGGGCACTTGCCTTGAACACAGTCAACCTTGGTCTGATCTTGAGCATTTCTCATGTTCCCCCAAATCCCACCAGGAGTCCTCAAACCAGTGAGTATGACCCAAAAACAAAATCAAAAAGAAGAATGCAATTCTTTGTATTGAGGAAAGTCTCCCAGAAAAGGATTAAGAGCAACAGTGTCAAGCTTTAAATTTAATTCCAGTTCAGCTTTCATCAGCTATGTCCCCTTGGATTTCTCCCTCAGATATAATAGGGCACCTACCTCATAAAGCTGTTATAAATTTAGGATAGTATTAGGCATTAAGTCAGCATATTGTGTGCATCGTGTAGCTCTTATAGTCTTCTGCTTGGTCTAGAACTTTATCCCGAATGATCCTATTTTAAAAAATCATTTTGCTGACATTAATTCCATTCCCCATTGAGTTGCCGAGATAAGGTTGTATTTATCTGCACTGGTTGTTGCCAGCTTGTATGCTAACTTTGCCTGCTTTCATTGCATCTTGGAAAATAATCATGGTAGAGAATTTACATGGTAAGATTATTAATCCATTAAGAAATATCACATACTATTTGTATTTCACTTACAACACTAAATTGATGTGTTGATGTGATGAGACTGGTTGCATTACCTTGTCATTTGGAAGTAGTACATGGGTGCAATGCTTTGAAATACAAAGTTTCATCATCTATGACTTACAACTGATGATGGCAGCAAAATTACCAAATCTTATGGTAACAAGAGATGGGTATTGAGTTGGGTCTGGCAGGGCTCAAAAAAAAAAAATCACCGTTTTAAAGACCCCTGTCCAATGGTGTCATTGACTAACACATGGTTATATCTGGGTTATCACTGAAGTTTAATTTCTTAGGAATCAGTGTCAAATGACTGATGTCAGCAGAGATAGACACAAGCATGTTTTTGCATCAATCTGACTCTCCAATACAGCGCAGCAGGAAACCATCAATAATGAGGCAATGGAGGTTGACTGAAGGCGAGGGAAGCAAAGTCCCTCCAGAAATGACTCCAGTCCCCGTGAGGTCTTCAGGAAGAGTCGAGAAAACACATGCCTGATTCCATCACTGGGCACTACCAACCGTTGAGCCTGACTTCTTACAAGTCGTCTCGAGGAAGTTCATCAGACTCAGCTAAGACATCCATGGCTCACTGAGTCCTCACCGAATACCAGCATGGAGTCCTTCCCCAGACCCAGAAAGGGAGCCAAGCTGTCACCCTGTGCTGGGCACAAAGCCAGCTGGAGCGAACAGGAAAAGACTGGCTCCCCTGCTTGTCTATAACTTAGAACTGATGATGCCAGTGACATTACCAGTACTTCTGATGACAAGGGACGACTATTGAGTTGCTCAAAAAAAAAAAAAAACCTCTAAGTCATCAGGCCTCTCCCATTCCCACTCCCAGCACTTGACCTTATACAGCGAATCCCCCAATATCACACACCTCGATCCCCTGTACCCTCTGTTGGCCCAATTCCACTTCCTGTGAAACTTTCCATCTTCACTGAAGTCCTGTACCCGAGGTGGACCTGAAATCCACCTGGCTGGATGCAACCCGAGGGGCTGATATCCAAAGTGCCAATGTTTACTAACCCTGGGAATCTTCAGTTCTTCGGATCAGATGGTTTAACTGAGTGAGTGATGCCGGGGCAGTGAGGGGGATATCTTACCGTGCTGAAAAGAGGAGACCAGCTTTATGGGGAAGACACCACAGAAAACTTCTGAGATGTCATTTTTCTTGGCACACACTTTCTCCGTGTCCCCTGCTATCACGCCATAAAATCCCCAAATGAATGAGAGGGTTCATTTCATCTTTTAACCCTAACAGTGAACCCTCATAATTCTGTAAAGGAAGCATTCTCTCTCATTCGCTTCACGCACAGAGCAAAACAAGACAGTTCAACTACATGTGACTAAGAGTAAGAAAAATATACAACTATATTTAAAACACTTAAATTAACAGGATAGCACTTTTCCATTCTAACAAAATATCATACATTCTGTTTAAACAAGAGTTAATACCAGAGACACTTTTTTCAAGATATCTGACGCTAAGTTGAAAATGAGTGACCGTGAGACATTTCAAGACAGTTCTACTTAGCAAACTGTGTACAATTTTGGTAACTGTAAAAGAGAAGACTGGTCCTCTCTTTCCTAAAAGATGGACATTAAACAGATCAAAATGCAAACTGGATGTATCACTCAGAAACGTTAAGTACTGTTGCTTCGTTTTCCTAAATGAGACTTTGGCAGCCAGCAAATCTTAGAGCTTCTTTTTTCTTTAAAAGACAATAATGTAAAACAACAAGACCCCAGTCCCCCTCCCCCCTACCCCCAATCACCACTCACTTATCGGAGCATGGGTGAGTCCTCTAAATGTGTCTGCAAGGTCTGCATGACTGACCTACCTGCCCAGAGTCTGGCAGGAAAGGGGAATTCACCAAGTGTAATATGCTACACTTAAAACGTCTGTTTTGAATGAGCATCTGATACCCCAGAACGTACTCTCTCCACTCAAAGACACTACACTTACAAACGCAGTCTCTGCAGCTGGAAGAAACTCTAAACAAGGCTGATTTCTCTGGGTTCTTCTTGCAGGTGAAGAAGTTGGAACAGAAACCAACCCTTCTGAGACACTAGGCCACTCATCTCTGTCCCACTCCCAAATCAAACAATGCCCCCCCCCCCCCAATTCTTCAGTTGACCGGCCAGGATCCACGGCACACAATGGTGTCTGTCTGGATCCTGCTGAAGAAAAGGCAGGCTCCATCTGTTCGTCCGTCCGTCCATCCATCCATCCATCCATCCATCCATCTCCTTCCGTCTCCGTAAGCCAGCACTCAAGATGCGCGAATTTGGTCCCATCCAAGGACATCAAGATCCCAAGAAGGGTAACAGATGGTTTTCCAAAAAACAGAGGGAAGAGAGGGTGGGAATAAAGGAATTGCATAAGGTCACTACTTAATACTGCGGCTGCAAATCACAACGGTGGCCAGCTGAGGACGCAAGGCACTGGTGGCAAGCCCCGGAGGGCATAGTTCAGTGAGTCAAGAGTTTCAGGCGGGTCAACCAGCTGACCAACAGGGACGGTTCTGTGGACGAGGACTTGGCCCCCGTGGCGCCAGGCTTCTTTTTGGTCCCCTCCTCCTGGAAGGGCATGGTGGCGCTGCTGTGCAGATCCGAGTTGATGTAGCACCGGCTGCCTCGGATGTAGTCTGCGCCGCGCACCAGCTGCCGCTCGCCCGCCGGCCTGGAGAATCGGTAATGCGGGGAGACGCTCTCCTCGATGATGGGGGGGATCCGCTCGTTGCTGAAGTACCGGCAGAGGGCGTCCTCCCCTGTTAAGGACAAAGCCCATAGGCCGTCAGAAAGCCCCTCCCCTGCACAGGCCCAGATGGTCCAGAGGGGGACGTGCTTGTCTTGCAAGCTGCAGCATGTCGGTTCCATCCCCCATAGCCCCAGCGAGTCCAAGACACCCAAGAGTGATCCCTAAGCACAGACCTAGGATCAAGTCCTGAGTACCGCCGCTCAGTGTGGGTCCCCCCAAATCAAACCAGAAACACCCCCCCTATAACCAGGACCTGGCTGGAGCTGGAGGATCTCGGGATAAATGAGTGGGAAGGACAGACGCAGAGACCACAGAAAGACAATGGAAGGTACTAAAGATGGGCAACATGTTGGCTCCAAAGGACGAAGACCAAAGTGGAAAGGATGGAGGTAGATGGAAAAGGAGCAGGAAGGGGAGGACCGGAAGTCCCACAGGGGCCAGTGCCAGGGGCCAAGGGCTTGGAGAGGCCCAGTGCATCTAAACCACAAGACCCAACATGACTGAAGGCACCGGAACCTGAGTCTCAAAACTTAAATGTAAAATTGAGCCTGGCACAAAGCCAGGTGGGGGCGGGAAGAGGGAGCCTGGAGTTGTGGGCTGGTGAGGTGTTGGAGGGGGGAATATTCTATGCCTCAGACACTCTGGCAAACAACCTTGGAAATCAAGTGTTGAATACTTTTAAAAAAATGCTTTTAAAGAATATATCGGGGCTGGAGCAATAGCACAGTGGGTAGGGTGTTTGCCTTGCACGAAGCCAACCGGTTCGATTCCCAGCATCCCATATGGTCCCCTGAGCACTGCCAGGAGTAATTCCTGAGTTCATGATCCAGGAGTAACTCCTATGCATCGCTGGGTGTAACCCAAAAAGCAAACAAACAAACAAACAAATATATTAACCCCTGCACAGCAATTTGTGTTCCCACAGCCCCCAGCTCTACATGACCCTCATCGTGCCCTTTCATGGTGGGGTCCACCCACTGGGTGTTGGAAACACAGAAATTCAGGGTGCCCCGGTCTCCCCGGCTGTACCCACAACTGGGGGCTAACATGGGTCCGAGGCTCCCATTATCCTGCTTTACCAGGGCATGGTTCATTGTTCCACTGGAATCAGAAACTAAGAAAAGGAGGCCAGAGAATTCTGTCCCTCCATCCACATCTGGCCTTGCCCCATGCCTGTCCCAAGGGGTACTGGGTTCAAAAGCAGTGGATCCAAGGCTGGCGTACCCCCTGAGGAGTGCTGAGAAAATGGGAACGTCTGGTTGTCAGCCTGAATGGAGGGCAGGCACAACTGGTCTTTAATGGGTGGGATTCAATGATTTCACAGTTCTGCAATGTTTAGGGGGTTTGAACCTGGAAGAAAGACCGCACAGGGTAGAAAAGGGCGTGTAGGAAATTGAATAGAAAATAAAATGTAGGGCTTTGGGTCAATATGTAGCATTCATCAGTTCCAGAACTTAAAGGTCACTCCATGACACATTTAAAAAGAATTGCATTCTCTGTTATGGGAGTTGTCTCCCTATGAAGTTATTCTTTTCCTTCTAAGGGGTCAGTATGCAGAAATCTTCCTAACATGATCCCACATAACCCAACAAGCTGGAGCGCATGCTCTGTATGCAGGAGACCCAGTTCAGCCCCCCCGTATCATATGTAGTCAGACCTGAGCACTTCCAGGTGTGGCCCCCAAATCAAATAAAATGATGACACAAGAAAAATGTGGAAGATGGGAATAAGGAGTCATGTATCTTTCCCAGTTTCATTTTCACAATCTCTATCCCCTTTTCTCAAGAGGGAAAGAAAAGCAAAGACCAAACCGGAACCTGGAAGGCCCAAGCATGGCAACGCACATAGCAAACACTTGGAAAGATAAACAAGGGACAGGCCTGCCACCTGCTGACTGCTCCTCAGACTGCCACATGGTCACCAATTCCTCCCAGCACCCCTTTGACAGGGGTCGCGCACCTGTTCAGGTGAAGCAACACACGAGGGCAAGTAGCTTTGCCAAGTTCCGGGCATGGAGGGCACTTTGGAAACTGTCACTGTTACTGCCACTGTCCTCCCGTCGTTCATCGATTTGCTCAAACAGGCCCAGTAACGTCTCCAATGTGACAACTGTTACTGTGTCTGGCATATCGAATACGTCACGGGTAGCTTTCCAGGCTTTGCCGTGTGGGCGAGATACTCTCAGTAGCTTGCTGGGCTCTCTGAGAGGGGTGGAGGAATCGAACCAGGGTTGGCCATGTCAGCCGCGTGCAAGGCAAATGCCTTACCCACTGTGCTATCGCTCCAGCCCTTTGGAAACTGTACCTCCCGAAATTTTTTTGTTTTCCTTTTCCTATCTCAGACCCTATGCACTTGAACTTTTCACCTGTTCTTATTTCTGCATTACAAGAGCTACGTTCCATCATCCTCCCAGCCTGAAGGTTCAAAAGCCCCCTGTCCCTTCCTTCAGTGAGAATATTCATAAACATTTCACTCAAGACTAGTACAGTGAGCAGGAATTTTGATTACAGGGCGAATCACGTGCAAATTTCTTCTACGGGGATGGAAGGGTGGAGGGGTGGAAATCCATGTGTGTTCATTAAAAAATCAAATACTTCAATAATAACAGTGGTAGACTTTAGGACACGATTATTTAACAATAGACTTCTGAAGTATCACGATCACGACCGTCCTGTTGTTCGTGGATTGCCTCGAGCAGGCCCCAGTAACGCCTCCTTCATCTTAGCCCTGAGATTTTTTAAAAAGTGCCATATTCAAGGCTCTTTCAGGGTTAGAAGAATGAGACCCATCATTGTTACTGGTATTTGGCATATTGGGTACGCCACAAGGAGTTTGCCAGACTCTGCCATGTTCTTAAGTATAATCATCAAAAAATTAGACCCATGGCTCTAAGTTCAGCAGGTAGAGTGCTTGTCCTCAACGTGGCTGGCCCAGGTTTGATCCCTGGTACCACATATTATCTCCCTGTTCTGTCAGGAGAGATCCTGGAGAATAGAGCCAGGAGTAAGGCCTGAGCATCATACGGTATGACCTTAACATTTTAAAAATAGAAAAAAAATAAAATTTTGACCACAAGTGGTAACAGCCTGGTCAAAGCACAAAACACTAATTAGGGATATACAATGACCAATGGGCTGTAGATCTTTTTACCTGGGTTGTAGCTCTACAATGGGTTGCAGATCTTTTTACCTGTAGAATTTTACCTTTCTAGACACAAGTAGGGTCTTGAAAAAATCTTCAGGTGAGAAGCCGGGAATGAGAATGAAGAAATACTACATACAAACTATTGTTGGTTTAGGGGTCTGGAGTGGGATTTGGAGGAACCACCCCCGTAGTGTTCAAGGGGACTCCAATTCCTCCCAGCAATTCCTGAGAGCCGGGCTGGCTACTCAGTGTCAGGGTGTGAGACACCTGCCCTTGCATGCTGTCTACACAGCTTTCAAAGCACATGGACAAACACCACCGGCAGGATGCCTGGCTCTTGGGATTCTCTCTGGTGCTGCAGAGTCTGCTTCGGTGCCACTTACCTTTCCTTCCGTGGCCTCGAGGTTTGGCAAAAGGGTCGACAATCCCCATCCAGCTGCCGTCGGCTGGCATGGACAGAGGCCGGGGTTTGCCTTCGGAGGAAAAGAAGTGAGAAGCCAGTGAGAATGGGTGCAGAGAGGCGCCCGCCCCGTCTCCAGGCTGCACCCCGCCCCTCCCTCTTCTAACACTCACTCCAGCAGAGGCAAGAATAAGCCCTCAAGTATGGAAAGGATGAAAAAGCAGCAAAGGCAGCAGCGCCAGGCCGGAGTCTGACATTCCGAGTTCAAGCCAACCCGGCACTGAAGTTAAAACCGTAACATGATCTCACCCCGCCGGGCTCCAGAGCCAAGGGGAGTAAGGACTCCACAAGGCTCCGCTTGAAAGAGATGAATAAAGGTCTCATACTTAGAATTTCATTGAGGTTTATGTTTTCCTCGGATTACCCTTCGAGTCTGCCAAATCCAGCCAATGGGTCCAAATAAGGAAGGGGGTGGGGCAGAGAAGCGAGAGCCCAGGGCAGACGGAGAGCCACACACGCAGACTCACCATAGGAGGGTTTTTTCTCTCTCATTTTTGCGGGCGGAATATTGGTCTCCACCGAATACCCGGGCAATTGGTCAGAGTCGGCGATGGTGAATCTCCGTCTTCGGCTTTCCTGGTCCAGGAAGGAATTCGGGGACTCGGACCCCTTCCGGCTAGGCAGCAGCTGTTTCGACTTACTGACTCCTCCATAAACAAAACTCCCGTTCTCATCCCTGCAAGATGAGGAGGAAGAGTGAGCAGTTGGCGGAGAGCCTCTAATGTCAGTCACGGCCCATGGAGGAACATGTAGGAGATAGTACAGCGGAAAGGGCCTTTTCCCTGGGTTTGATCCCTGGCACCTCATATGGTCACCCAAGACCCAGCAGGAATGATCCTTGAGCACAGAGACAAGAAACAAGAATAAGTCCTGAGCACGGCCAGGTCTGGCTCAAAAACAAAACAAAAAGAAAGAAATTGTTCAGCTTTGGGGCCAGAGCAATAGTACAGTAGGTAGGTGCTTGCCTTGCATGCAAATGGCCCAGATTTGAACCCGGGCACCACAAGATGCCCTGAGCCTGCCAGGAATGATCCCTGAGTGCAGAGTAAGCCCTGAGCACTGCTCAGTGTGGCACAGAAGGAAGGAAGGAAGGAAGGAAGGGAGGGAGGGAGGGAGGGAGGGAGGGAGGGAGGGAGGGAGGAGAAAGGAAGGAAGAAGGGAAGGAAGGAAGGAAGGAAGGAAGGAAGGAAGGAAGGAAGGAAGGAAGGAAGGAAAAAGAAAAAAGAAAGAAAGAAAGAAATCTTTAAAGAAAGAAAAAAAGACAGACTTTTTCCTTTTCCACTAGAGAAACAAGCATTCCTTTATCAGTCCCAGTGATCCCTAAATTACATACGGATCTCCTTCCTTTTTCACGGGGTGGGAGTGGGGACAGGTGACTGTGAAGGTATGAAAAATGGTACTTAGTGGTCATATGGTCCCCTGAGCACTTCCAGGAGTAATGGCTGAGCATCGCTGGGTGTGGCTCTCCACCCCCACAAAAAAAGACTTTATGGGCCGATACTACAGGGTTAAGGTGCTTGCCTGGCGTGTGGCTAACGCCAGTTCTATCACCAGCATGGCCTGGCTACTGAGCACAGAGCTGGCAGAGCCCTTAAGCACTACCTAGGACAACTCAAATCTCCACTTCCCCCTAAAAAACAGACTGAAAACCATGATCCTATGAAAGTACGTGAAATTTTCAAGCATCTAAATGGTATAAAAATACCATTAAAAAAATAACTAGTTTCCATATTTCTGTGCTACAAATGAAGCTCCTATTTGCTACAGAGCTCATGAGTGAAGGTGGGATCTAGCAAAGCCCCTTTCCCGTGCCCGGATCAGTCTTCCTGCCAAGACACAGAAAAGACAGCACTTGGAGTGTCATGGATTTGCTGGCTTTGAGAAGCACATCCAAACCTACACAAGGGCCTTGAGTGTAACCGACAGAGAGAGCTTGTTTCCTGAACCAAGAGAAACCAGCCTGAGTTGGATCACAGATTCCAAGTTAATTCTATCTAAGACATCAGCTTGTAATAAAGTAAAACTAATTTTAGTGGAGTTCAAGTTACCGGCTACAGAGCTGCATTCAGTACATCTCTTTGGGTGGTCATTATGAAAACTAGCTGGGGGTGGGGAGTGTGGAGAGGTAGGATGAGGGTTAGGGTGCTTGCCTTTCACATGGTCAACCCAGGTTTGATCCCTGGCACCACACACGGTGCCCCAAGACCCACCAGGAGTGATCCCTGAGCACAGAGCCAGGAGTAAGCCCTGAGTACCACCAGCTGTGCACCCCCTCTCAATCCCACAAAAACCTAGTAGGTAAAATAAAGTCAGACGAGTTCAGACAGTCTCGAGCCCTGCCTTGCCCAAGTGGTATTCGCAGTGAGCCTGCACAGAGCTGGCCCACACAGACTGTCTCCTCTGCGAACTTCAGAGCCTAATCCCCCCGCCTCCCAGAGCCCCCAGCCTCAGTGCTATGGGGCCAGCTGCACTTTCCACTCTCAGAACAGGTTCTTCAGTAACGGTGTGTGCATGTGATACACGCACATGTATGTGGTATGTGCATGGGTCTGTTCACATCAACATGTATTACTGTGTGATGGGTTTGGTACGTGTATGTTTATGTGTATAGGCGTGGGAAGTGTTTGTATGCACGTGTCTCTGTGTGATGAGTACATGCATGGAAATGGGTGGGAGTATAGCATGTGTACATGATGTCTGGTGTGTGTTGTATGTATGTGTGATGTATGTTGTATATAGCACAGAGGGCTGGAGCAATAGCACAGCAGGTAGGGCGTTTGCCTTGCACGCAGCCAACATGATCGGCCCAAGTTTGATTCTTCTGCCCCTCTTGGAGAGCCCGGCAAGCTACCGAGAGTATCTCGCCCGCATGGCAATGCCTGGCAAGCTACCCGTGACGTATGCGATATGCCAAACACAGTAACAACAAGTCTCATGACGGAGACATTACTGGGCCCGCTCGAGCAAATTGATGAACAATGGGAGGACAGTGACAGTGACAAGTGGCATGTACGTGTGATGCATGTGTGCATGTGTATGATGTGTATGCAGTGATGGGTGCGTGTGTGTGTGTGTGTGTGTGTGTGTGTGTGTGTGTGTCCCCAACCAAGTAGATTCAAGGCTTCAAGGCCCAGTTTTCTTTTCTATTTCTTGTCTGTTTCCTGCTCACACTGCCTTGCACTGAGCCCCACACAGAGACACTGGATACGAGGTTCCTCCTGCCATCTGTCCCGTGGGCTTGAGTGCGGTGCCCTCCATGTAGAGAAGCACCAACTACCTGTGGCTTTGAACAACCTCCAGATCCCGGGCATGTGGTTCTGGTCTCTGAACACAGGAAAGCACTGCCTGCTATAGAAACTGCTCTGCCTACTGTAAAAAAAACGCTCCATGCAAATCATGAGGGAGAAGAGGGAGAATTCTTTGTTCCCAAGGAGGAAACACAATAAACCCACAGAGCTTCAATAGGACTCAGCTTAAAACACAGAGCACCAATAAAAAGTAAAAAACGAATCTAAGCTCAGCCCAAACTTGGCCGTATGAAGCGGTATAGCACCATGACGTACTCCTCGGGTTATTCTCGGACAGCTGAGTAAGATATCATTTAGCCGCTGGTTTATGGAAGAGAGTGACCGAGCCCAGAGCTCAGTAAACACACACTGAATCAATGAACCCAATCTTGAGTTTCACCAAAGTACGTGACAGCTGTGTGGCTATAAATAGGCCTGTACTTCCCTGTCTAGAGCAGCCCTTATACAATGTTTAAGGGCATCCTGATTACACCCGGTAACAGCTAAGACAACCATTAAGAACACAATCATCAGGAATTTATAACAGACACACCCATACACATAAAACATGTGCCCAAGTAGGGACAGTTCACGCCCACCGACACACATCTCAGCAAACACAGTTCTCAGCAAAATCAAGCTGCAATTTCACAAAAGTTATTTGCAACCCTTCTCCCTAGAGATGAATCTAGTTTCAGGGACTCCCAAACAGCCACTTCCAAAGCCAGGGAGGAGCCAGGTGGCACCTTCCAGAGCACATCTGCTTCTGTGTAGACTCCTCTTCCCTAGGAGACCTGGCCCTCGCTGCCCCTTCCCCAAAAGACCACTCCTTTCTCCTTGCAGCTATGCTGACCCACACGCCCTCATGCTAACCATTTGCTCGAGTGAGCCCAATAACATTGTGAGACTTGTTACTGTGTTTGGCATATTGAATACGTCATGGGGAGCTTGCCAGGATTTGCCGTGCGGGAGAGATACTCTCGGTAGCTTACCGGGCTCTCCAAGAGGGCCAGAGGAATCGAACCCGGGTCAGCCCAGTCGGCCGCGTGCAAGGCAAACACCCTACTGGTGTGCTATCGCCCCAGCCCCCTCATGCTAAATAGCAATGCCAATTAGTTTCAGGAGCAGAGTTCAGTGAACACACTCACTCCACATTACCAATGATCCTGTCTTGGAGGAGAACTCACGAGCTCTCCTCCCTCGGCTGGTTCCCCGTCCCCAGATACCCAGAGAGAACCAAACCTGGATGGCCCATCACCCGCTTCACAGAAGAAAAGAGATCACTCAGCAACTGCTGGACATTTATCTGTCTTCCTCTTCACAAAAGGGGGTGGCGAGGGATTCCAAGCAGTGCTCAGGGCTGGGAGCACACAGACATTCTCAGCCAGCTGGACCCGGGGATGGGGTGCTTGCTCAGACCCTACAGTGCTGGGGAGACCTGGGCCACCTTAGCAGTGCTGAGACCTGCAGAGCTGCACCTGGCGATGCTCACTGGACCAGGTGGTACAAGGAATGGAACTGGGGTTGGACACAAGCTAGGCCTGCACGCCAACTATTGTACTGTCCCCCCCCCCCCCCCACTGTCCTACAGAAATCTACCTTCTTTAAGCAAACGAACAGAAAGTGCCCATAAGTTGTATTCAAGGTTGTAACACCCCACTTCCTGCCCGTCACCCAGGGTCTTCCGAGGGGTGGTAGCACCCGCTCTGGGAAACAGTGACATACACAATGAGGACTGTCACCCATGGTCCCCACACTGGCCAGTACTTCCCATGACTGATTTCCTGGATAACTGGAAGTCTTCCCCCCACCCACTTTGCCCGTTCTCCACCACCCCGTGTCAGCTGCCAGGATCCCAAGTTTCAATGGCAGGTTTGTTTTCATAATTAAAAAAATTAATTAGGCCGGGGGGCTGGAGTGATAGCACAGCAGGTAGGGCGTTTGTCTTGCATGCAGCTGACCTGGGTTTGACTCCCAGAATCCCATATGGTCCCCCAAGCACCACCAAGAGTAATTCCTGAGTGCACAAGCCAGGAATAACCCCTGAACATCACCGGCTGTGACACAAAAAGAAAATTAAAAAAAAAATTTTCTACCTGGGGAGCTACTCCTGAGCTGAGTGCTCAGGGGACTAGCAGTGTTGGGGGATCAAACCCAGGGTTCCCAGGGGTCAAGCACGCACACGAGCCTTTGAGCCTCTCCCTGATCCTGGAAGGGAGTCTTCAAATCCAGGTCCATCTCCCTGGAAGTTCAGTAACTTTCCCTCTCAAAGTCCTTCCTGCATTCCCCCCACCCCGTCCGACATGCCCACCTTTCCCCAACCTAGGACATCCACCCTGGGGACCCGCACACCCTGAGACCAGCGTGGACATACCGGGGCGAGTAGGGGATGGCGGGCGGCGGCGGGATGTAGAGGTCCAGGATAGCAGGTTTCTCCTTCTTCAGTGAGGCGTCCATGGTGCTCTCCGGGGACTGAGGGGCCTTGGGCGGAGGCGAGGTCTGCAGCAGGAGGGAGAACAGAGGGACAGGGGAAGGGTCACCATCATCAGAGCCTTCAATCAACCCACGACTTCCCCCAGAAGGCTCAGAACTCACCAAGAAGCACGCGATTATACCAGCAACAAGCAGGGTGGGCTCTAGCCCAGAGCAGACCACCCACCCTCCCTGCCTCTACTTCCTTTTCTGAAAGCAGAGCTGACGGGGCCCTCCAGCACGGGATGGGGTGGGTCAGGGCAAGATCGTGCCAATCACTAACCACGTCACTAAAAGATAGATACAGGACTCAGATGGACTCTGAGAAACTTGGCTACGGCCCTGATTCAGTTGTGTCCCTCCAGGTCTCATGACTCAGCATCTTGGGGTCTCCTCTAAAGAATGGGGGGCCCCAGGGACAGAAGGTGTGGCTGTGAGGATTCAACAAGAGTGCCCACATGCAGGGATGAGGGTGTGACGGGGCCCCTAGGAGGGCACTGAGTAGGACACACAGATTAGATAACATACGCCAACCCACACTTATCAGGTAGGTTCTTGGTTTTGTTTTTTTGCGAGGGTTTTTTTTTGCCCCAAGGGTGGAAAAATAAAAAATAAAAAGATAGATGGATAGATAGACAGACAGATAGATAAGCAGATTACAGTGAAACAGTGATGGAATCTTGGTTTCCCTCTCAATCCTAGCCTCTAGCTCTGCCCTCCTGACCACAGCTCGAAATGTGAAGACCTCAGGGGTCGTGTCTGATCTCCTTTCCTTGGCCAGGGGTATGGGCCTCACCCGGGCCCCAACATCCTTGGGAGAAGGCCCAGACTTGGCTTCCTGCCCCATCCAGCTTCCAGGAATATGGCCTCTGGAAGGGCCTGGACTTCCCCCTCTCTCTGGAGGGAGTCACCAGCCACTCTTACTCTGCTGGTTTGGTCTCCCTGTGGCCTCAGAAACATTTCCTGTGGCTCCTGCTCTCAGAGCCTTATTGGGGGGAGGGGGGAGAACCCCAGGATGTCCACACTGCTGGCTCTACACTCTCAGGCTCACTCCCAGGAGGGCTCGGGTCAGCTGTGTGCACGGTCAGCACCTACCCGCTCTCCTCTGGCCCGAGTGTCACTTCTCTTCTGAGTCCCACACAATGGCAGCATCTCCCAGGCCTACATCCAGAGTGCTCCAGAAATGCATCGTTTGGGGAGTGGGGATGTGCCCAGTCAGCGTGGGGCTTACTCCTGCCAGGCTTGGGGGACCCTAGGGGACACTGAGGATCAAATCCCAATCAGCTGCGTGCAAGGCAAGTGCCATCCCCGCTGTACTAGGGGTTCGGCCCAGAAAGCGCCTTAAAAGAGGAGATGAAGTGGGAGACGCGGCCGTCTCGGACCCGAATCCAATATGAAAATGCACGGGGCACCAGAGCTTGGCATGGCATGGACTGCCCAGAGCAAAGGGCCCGTGAGGACACAAGTGAGGGAGCGAGGCGGGAAGGAACCAAGGCTGGCAGTGCCTTCACCTCTACGCAGCACGGGAGAAAGCCCAGCTGTTGCATCACTCTGTGGGGCTTGTTGGGGCCAGCACCGGCTCATACCCATGGCCAGGCCCCCCGGGGGACCGGGCCAGCCAACACCCCCGGATCCTGGCTGTCTCTCTGCCTCCAGCCCTGGAGGCTGAGCTCATCCCAAAGGACGCAGCCTCATGCCAGCCCAGGGTGCGTTCAGTGTCTGCTTCGAGGGCTCACACCTGTGCCCTCCTCTGAGACCCGTCCACAGGGGCAGCTGCCCCTCCCGGCCTGCGGTCAGGCACCCACAGCACAGGCTCCGGGTTCACAGTCCACGTGCATGTCCACACGCATGGCCTCACCCTCTCAGGGCCCTTGGCAGAAACTCAGCCCCGACTGTGAGGAGAAAAGCTGGTTCTGGCTACCACCTTCCTGGCGAAGTGGTGTAGGGCCCCAGGGTCCACTTGGCTTCTCATCCCTGACAGGCTCGCCCAGCGGCCCAGTGCCCAACCTGACCCAGGATTCCATGGGAAGAGGCACCTCCCACTGATCCCCACTCCCCATCACCTCCCCCCTACTTCTCTGTCCCCCCCCTTAGCAACCCCCCTGCCTCTCCATCCCCCATCCCCTCCCCCTTTCTCTCCATCCCCCATTCCTCCCCTGTTTCTCCATACCCCCTCCTCTCCCCCGTCTCTCCATCCCCCATCCCCTCCCCCATCTCTTCATCCCCACCCCCTCCTCCTGTCTCTCCATCCCCCTCTCACCTCCCCCTGCCTCTCCATCCTCCTCAGCTCCCTGTCTTCAGAGGCCCCCTCCTGTCCCGCACCCCGGTAGCTGGCCAAGCTGGCATGCGCAGTGAGCAGGGGCTGACCAGTCACACTGAGTCAGCTGCACCTGCTAAGAACCTGCCCAAGTGGACGGAAGCAGCACCTGCTGGCGCACAGCCAACAGAAGGGCTGGGCTGACGGCCACACTGTTCCCGTGTCCACCCGCTCTGGTCACAGCCCATTCTGTGTTCCAGCCGCCACATCCTGTTGTTGATGTGCAACATGCCCCGCACAGGACACCTACAGGCACAGTGCCAGGGTCACGGACGGCTGCACGGTCCCCTACCCCACAGTCAGAAGGTGACAACAGAACCCCACCCCGAGGGGACTGCCACTCGCTTTACAAAGGGGAGAGAGGGGCCACTTGCTGTGCATGTGGTTGACTTGGGTTCGAGCTCCAGCATCCCATATGTTCCCCCCTTAACCTCCCCCAGGAGAAATCCCAGAGTGTAGAGCCAGGACCTGAGGACCACCTGGTGTGGCCCCAAACAAAAACAAGACAAAACAAACAAACACTGTCCTCCTGTTGTTCATCGATTTACTCGAGTGGGCCCAATAACGTCTCCATTGTGAGACTTGTTACTGTGTTTGGCATAATGATTATAGAATATGTCATGGGTAGCTTGCCAGGCTTTGACGTGCAGGTGGGATTCTCTCGGTAGCTTGCCGGGCTCTCCGAGAGGGGCGGAGAAATCGAACCCGGCTCGGCCAGGCTGGTTGCACGCAAGGCAAATGCCCTACCGCTGTGCTATCGCGCCAGCCCCCAAAACAAGACAAAGGCTTTTCAAATGTCACTGCTTCTCCTGGTGGTCTCAGAACCACATAGGACACAAGCAGACAGAGCCAGGGCCAGCAGGGACCCCAAGAGGAGCCAATAAGGGGACACAGTGTCTAGAGTGAATTGAAATAACAGAATGTGGGAAAAGGGCCTGCTCGCTCTACAGAAGGCCAGGGCTGAGACTGTCACCCACACATCCACACCCCTGGTCCCCCCACCCTTGCCACAGCTCAGGACTCCAGCCCGCGGGTCTCTCTATGGCTGTCACCTCCCTGGAAGCGAGCAGGCAGTGGGGTCGAGGCTCTTTCCTGGGGGCTGACAGCAACAGGCCCAAACCGTGGCAACAAGAGGCTGAGGACAGCAATGGCCCATTCCCGGGGGCGGGGGTCGCTGGGGCCGCCAACGCTCCAAGCAAGCCTAGACCCGCTTCCATCCAAGTCAGATAATAGTGTCGCGATGCACATGGCAGTGGCCCCAAGGCCCAGGTGGGTGAGGTGGCCAAGAAGATGGGGTGACCGGGCCAAGTTACCTGCACGACGGGCGGCCGCCACCGCAGGTTTTTCAGGGGAGCAGGGGTGAAGTTGAACGAGCCCGTGGGGCGTTTCTTGAGCAGAAGCACCACTCCTGTGGGGTCCTCTCGCAGTTTCCTCACCAGGTTCTTCAACTGCCAGCCCACCTAGGAGGAGAACAGGGTGGGAGGGAGACTCAGCGACACAGAAGCAGATGCCCGGCCTAGGGGGCGAATGTCCCCCACTCACTGTGACCCAGAGGCAGGTCACATGGATGCTCATCTTTGCGGGCCTGAAGATGAAAGATACACACTGCAGATTTGGAACCTTCCAGAGGGGCACGCACATGGTCCGGGGACAGGCCACGCGTGTATGAGGTCCTGGGTACAATCCCCAGCACCAACCACTCACAATAAATAAATAAATAAAGTTTAAGTGAAAGGGCTCTGGGTTTAGTTCAAAGTCCTTGAGGGGAGGAGCAGAAGGATTAGACTATGGTGGAAGCCTGCCTCAAGTGCTGGGGCAGAAGGTAATTGGGACATTTACCTTCCCAATGTAGAACATGTAGGACATTTACCTACCTTTGTCATGATGGTCCCAGAGAAGGGACCATCATGACAAAGAGAGTTGGAAAGGATCACTCTAGATAAGAACTGAGTGCTGAAAGTGGGTAAAGGAATAAACATGATAACCTACCAGTATCCGTGTTGCAAATCGTACTGCCCAAAAAGAGTGAGGGGGGGGGAGAGAGAGAGAGAGAAAGAGAGAAGAATGAGAGGGAGAGAGACAGAGAAGAACGAGAGGGAGAGAGAGGAGAGGGAGAGAAAGGAGAGGAAGAGAGAGAAGAAGAGGGAGAGAGGGAGAGAGAAGCAGAGAGAGAAAGAAGAATGAGAGAGGGAGAGAAAGAGAGGAGAGGGAGAGAGAGAAGGAGAGGGAGAAATGGGGAGAGAGAGAAGGAGAGGGAGAGAGAGAAGGAGAGGGAGAAATGGGGAGAGAGAAGAAGGAGAGGGAGAGAGAGAGAAGGAGAGGGAGAGAGAAGGAGAGGGAGAGAAGGGGAGAGAGAGAGAAGGAGAGGGAGAGAGTAGGAGAGGGAGAGAGAGAAGGAGAGGGAGAGAAGGAGAGAAAGAGGAGGAGAGGGAGAAAGATGGAGAGAGAGAGGGAGAGAGAGAGAGAAGGAAAGTGCCTGCCATAGAGCCAGGCTGGGGGCTGGGGGTGATGGGAGGGAAACAGGTCGCTGGTGGTAGAAAGTGGACATTGGTAGAGGGGTGGATGTTGGATCACTGTCTGAGTGAAACCTGATCCTGAACATCTTTGTAACTGTTTCACAGTGACTCGATTACAAAAATAAAAATTATTTTAAAATTATGAAAAAATGAAAGTTCTTGAGGGGAGCTGACATGTGAGGTGTTGAGACCCAACTCACCACAGTTTGCCGGTTGACCTGGATGACTTCGTCCCCCGCGTGGATCTTCTGAGATCGGTCTGCAGGAGACTGAGAGAAAAAGAGAGATGCCTGTGACTGAAGCCTCCTGTTTCACCTTCCCTCTCTCACTGCAGAGCAGGAGTGATAGAAACGTAATTCTCTCAAGAAATTGGAGGCTGGAGAGACAGCCCAGCAGACAGGGCACTTGGCTTGCATGCAGCCAACCCAGACTCAATCCCCAGAATCTCATATGGTCTCCTGAGCACCACCAGGAGTGATTCCTGAGTGCAGAGCCAGGAGTGGGCCCTGAGCACCACTGGGTAAGAACCAAAAACAAGCAAACAAAAAAAGAAAACAAAATAGTAATCAGTCTGACTTCCTGAGAGCCAGAGAGTGTGGAGAACCAGACAGGACTAGGACCCAATAGGGCCCGGTCGTCTGTCACTGAAAATCAGAACAGCTACTTCCAGGGCACCCACCAGACTCAGGGATGCATTGCTCAGAGTGGATGAAAACCAGAGATCCACTTAAAAAAACGTTTTCTCTGCAGCCAGAGACATACTACAGCAGGTAGGGCACTTGCCTCATACACAACTGATCCCAGGCTATCGCCAGCACCACTTATGATCCCCTGAGCATCACCGGGGTGATCCATGGACAGAGAGCCAGGGGTAAGCCCCAAATACCTCTGGACATGTGGCCAACAAAACAACAACAGGATCCTCACCTAGAGTTGATTTTGTAAACATTGGCCAACCCTTTAACATGGAATGTTATCACCATTTCCTTGGAATGATTCAACACCCCATTCTCTCAGCCTTGTTCTATATGTTATCAGGGAGGAAAGAAAAGGGAAGAGGGAGGGAGGAAGGGAGGGAGGGAGGGAGGGAGGGGGGGAGGGGATTGTGTCTGCCACAGACAGACGCAGGCTAGAGGGGATGGCAGAAGAGAAACTGGGAACATTGGTGGTGGGAAATGTACACTGGTGAAGGGATGGGTGATGGAACACTGAATGACTCAAACCTGATCATGAACAACTTTGTAACTGGGTATCTCACTCTGACTCAATAAAAAAATAATAATAATAAATTTAAAAAAGAAAACGTGATTCTTTAGGTAAAAATGAACTGGAATTTTTTTCCAACGTCAGGCTGAATTCTAACCAAATTCCTGGTGCTCATCCAAATGAACCCTGGACTTGGCTCCCCCCCGCCCCCCGCCCAGATAATATACTGCACCACAACCTGCAGATACCCCGTCCTAGGTCCCCCCGTGCAAGGATGCACCTCATTCCTTGGCCAGAGATTCTACTCATGTGATTCTTATCACTAAATCAAGCCAGAATGCTTCATGTTCAAGATTCTCAGATGACCCAGAGGCAAAAGAAAAGAAAAAATCTTTGATTTCAAGTTATAAACAAATGTTATTCAGGTCAGGGTATTTTATACGGTAGCTCACATAACTGATTCTCTTTTTAATTCTATCTATCCTAGGGGCCTGGAGCGAAAGAACAGCGGGTAGCTCGTTTGCCTTGCAGGCAGTCGGCCCAGCCGAGCCGGACTCAATTCCTCCACCCCTCTCGGAGAGCCCAGCAAGCTACCGAGAGTATCTCGCCCGCACGGCAGAGCCTGGCAAGCTCCCCGTGATGTATTCGATATGCCAAACACAATAACAACAAGTCTCACAATGGAGACATTACTGGGCCCACTCGAGCAAATCAATGAACAACGGGAGGACAGTGCTACAGTGCTACATCCTGGGGGTCAGAGCGATAGTACAGTGAAAAGGGCATTTGCCTTGCACATGGCTGAAATGGGTTCGATCCCGGCATCCCATATGGTCCCCCAAGCACCGCCAGGAGTAACCTCTGAACATCTCCAGGTGTGCCAGCTAAACATTTATGGTTCTAAACAAAAAAAAATAAATAAAAATTCCATCTATCCTTAAAAATAGTACCATGGAACTTGGGAAGGAGGAAGGGAGGGGAAGGAAGGGAGAAGCAATGAAACTCAAGACACACCTGCTGGATTTCCTCACTCAAGTGTGGCGGCAGACTTAACAAGTGTGGGCTCAGGGCTCCCGACTCTGTGTCAGGGTCACTCCTGGCATCCCTCTAGGGACCAAATTTGAAACTGGCCAAATGTAAGACGAGAGTCTGAACCCTTGTACTACTGTCCTGCCCTTGTGTGTCTTTTTTGTTTTCTTTTTGGGTCACACCCACTGATGCACTGGGGTTACTCCTGGCTCTTCACTCAGGAATTACTCCTGGCAGTTCTTGGGGGACCATATGGGATGCTGGGAATTGAGCCCGGGTCGGCCGCATGCAAGGCAAATGCCCTACCCACTGTGCTATCGCTCCAGCCCCTGTGTGTGTCTTTTTGATAGCAACCAGAACCTTTTTCTTTAATTTCATGCTTTGGTGGTGCAGGGATCAAACCCAGGGTCCAGAGTGCGAGGCATCTTCTCTGGCCTGAGCCACATCCCCAGCCTCAAACAGAACTAGCAACCCTTAGTGCAGACTGATCTGTGACCAAGTCTTCGGTGTCTCTGACGGGCTTAGGGCTACAGACTGAAGCTCTCCGCCCCAATATTCAAATGGTGAAGTGCTCAGTACAGCAATATTCAGAAATACTGCCTGTAGGAAAATAAGATTTACTGAATGAAGTTAAAAATAAAAGCAAACAGGGGCTGGAGCAAAAGCACAGAGGGTAGGGTGTTTGCCTTGCATGCGGCCAACCTGGGTTCGATTCCCAGCATCCCATATGGTCCCCTGAGCACCGCCAGGGGTAATTCCTGAATGCAGAGCCAGGAGTAGCCCCTGTGCATCGCCAGGTGTGACCCAAAAAAGCAAAAATAAATAAATAAATAAAAGCAAACAGAGAGAGATAACAGCGGGGGAGGCAGGGGCCTGTGTTGAAGCCAAGTACCTTGCAGTCACCCTGGCTGTGATCCCCAGCGCCACCCAGCACAATCCCAGTGACTCCCTGTCAGGGACCAGAAAGCCAGGTGTGTACAAGCACCACAGCCCAGGGTGCGAGCAAGCCTGTGTGCAAACCCCAGCCATGGCAGCTTCCACAAAGGGAAGGGAAGGGAGAAAACAGTTTTGAAGAGGAAAGAGAAGAGGGCCGGAGTGATAGTACAGCGGGTAGGGCATTTGCCTTGCATGCAGCTGACCCAGGTTCAATCCCCGGCATCCCATATGGTCCACCAAGCACTGCCAGGAGTAACTGCTGAGCACAGAGCCAAGAGTAACCCCTGAGCATCGCCGGGTGTGACCCAAAAAGACAAAAAAAAAATGGAGAGCAAACACACTGGGTTGAAGACGCTTTTCCCCTGACGTGTGCCAATGCAAAGGAGAGACAACTGTCATCTTTCTTTTTCAGAACATTTAACCAGCTGCCCTTGCCTCAGCACAGCCGCTCGACACCCAACAGTACAGCATGGGGCAGCATGGGGACTTCTGCAGGAAGATGGTTGCCTGCAATATCTTTCTCTTAGAGGTCTTGAAATGCATGTGTGCTTGCACACACACACACACACACACACACACACACACACACACACAGAGGTTGCATCTGACATGGCAAAAAATCCAGACCAGGTACCAATCCAGACCAGGTGGTCATCCTGGGCTAGAGATTTATTTAAAGTAAATTTCAATCATCAAAAATGACACACACACACACACACACACACCCCTGTCCCCTGCCCACAACCAGGCTCAGAGTCCCTGGATAGAGACATGCCAGCTTCATCAAAAACCCCACGTCCTGGACTGACTTCCCTTCTGAAGGAGCCTCATGCATTCACTCCTCAAATGTGCCAGCGAGTGATTAAGAGTTGTGCTTGGCAGAACACAAGTAAAGACAGAGCCTGATACCGAAATAATTCACCCTAGGCCAGAACCTCTTCTCTTGCCTCTCTCCACTGTGACCTGGATGGCTGAAAAGGGATGCTTGTTCTCATGTGCTGGAGAAAGGTGAGGACCAGGAGAAGAATGAATCCAGTCTTCAGAGGTAAACCCAATCTCATCCTATCTCGGGGCTGGGAAGAGGAGAAGATGGGTCCCTGTCCAGAAGCCTTGTCAAGGTCTCAGACAACATCAGACCAAGAATCATGAGCAACTCTTAGTCTGACCTTGGAATCGTCCGGGCTTCCCAAGCAATTTCTCCCCAAAATGAAATCCTGGGGAAGTGTAGACAATCTGCATGAGGATGCAAGGGGTAAGTTCGCCCACTGCCCCCAACACTGGGATTCTGAAGACACCGGGACCTGGAATGATGGCTGGAAAGTTGTCCTGAAGGCTTAACTATTCAATGTTACATTAAAAATATTCAGATTCAGTTCCACAGATGTGGGCTTTTTCTTTTTTTTGAAGTAAAAAAGATTTTATTTGGAGGGTCTTGAAGGTGTGGAGGGGGAGAAAGAGAGAAAGAAATGCACTCAAGAGAGAACGTGGACTTCTCCATGGATGGAGAGAGCCCCTACACACATCCCAGCATTAGACAGGAAATCATGAAAGCACATCTGAAAGGGGAGAAGCGGGCGACACATATGCTCGGCCATGTGGGCGCAAGCAGCACATGGGTTCAGGCAGAACATGCACCAGACATGGGCTCTTAACCTCACTTCTTAAACCTCATCCACAAGACCGCAAACGCTTCTGGGCACATTCCATGTAATCAATGAACCTGAGTTGAACTACTGAAAGAATGAGTGACATTTTCCAATGAATCACTCAGTGGAATGACAAGGTTTCCCTTTTCCAAATGCAAAACAAGATGAAAACTTCCTCTCACTGTGATGACATATGTATACAGGCCAGGATGAGGGTTCGAGGACCAAACATAAACAACTATATCTCTCACTTGATCCAGGAGCCTGGTAAGAACTAGAGGGAGTTTTCCAGAACAGCTGACATTTTGATAGACTCAAATGCAGCTTTATTTATAGTCTCCTGCAACTCATACCCTTAAGACAAAAGGACAGAAAAGGGACATTGACAAGAAGAAACTGGTCTGTTTTTTGGGTAGTAATATTATAATAACTGGGCTGGAGTGATAGCACAGCGGTAGGGCATTTGCCTTGTATGCAGCCAGCCCACCCGAGTCGGGTTCGATTCCTCCACCCCTCTCGGAGAGCCCAGCAGGCTACCGAGAGTCTCTCGCCTGTGCGGCAAAGCCTGGCAAGCTACCCATGACGTATTCAAAATGCCAAACACAGTAACAACAAGTCTCAAAACGGAGACGTTACTGGGCCTGCTCGAGCAAATCGATGAACAACGGGAGGATAGCGTTTGTTTCAATATTATAATGATCTTTTAGCCAGGATTGAAATGGTTATAGGAAAACCAGCACCTGGAACAAGAAAGGTCTAGTGTAAAACAATGCAATCACCAAACTACTTGATGCAAACCTCAACCTTCTATAAACTGAGGCCATCCTTTCCAGTACAGCCAGTTCCAAACAAGGCACTGGGTAGAACCTACGCAAGTTCTTTGCCTGTCGTCCTGATATACGCGAAGCTTCTGACAGAGATAAAGGGCGAATGTGTGTTTTTTGCTTCTGTACCATTCCCAGCCTAAAAGCCGAACTTCCTGTGCTATTCTTACCCATCAGGTGACACAGAAGGAAAAGGCCTAGTGGTTCTCAGTGAGTTCTCACTCCTAGCTCAACAAAGAAAGCTTAAAGATACTGTTATCTTCAACTCATCCATTTGTTGGACATTCACAAATTATGACTCATTGATTGGCTTGCCATATTTATTCCTTATTAAGAGAAATCAAGTGCGGGGCCAGAGGGATAGCTCAGTGGTCTGGTACATGCTTTGCACTTAAGACTCCTGTCTCTGATCTCTGGCCTCACAAGCTTCCCTGAATATTACCAAGAGTGACCCCAAACACAGAACTACTTCTGATTCTGTGGCTAGCCCCCACCCGAATCCAGAGCACAGGTGTGCCCCCCAATCTACAACAAATCAAATGTGTCACAAACACTCATCAAAGACCATGACCTTCCAACAAAGGATGTAGCAGCTGACACACAAAATTCAACGCACATTTCCACCTCACAGATCAGTAAAAGAGTTAGCAAATTTCTTCTATTTTTAGGAATTATTTCCTCCTGTCTTGGCTGATGAAATAGCAGATGCATTCCACAGATGCCGGCTTCTTTTACATAGATCCTGGGAAGCTAGTCAAATGCTTTTAGCTTCATATCAATGCCGATCAAAATCTAGCCATACCCTGGGTTGCAAGGAGAAAGAATTCAACCAACAGGTTCTACATTTTTACAAATTTGAAATATCTAAGGAGCTAAGGAAGAATGCTATTATGTCTCGGGCTTTACAGAGGACAAGAGGCATGTAGACAATCTCTCATAGCACAGTCTTGCTTTATCTTTTCATAAGATAAAGGGGAATAGAAAGGGCACTAAATTTCAATACCGTGACAAAGACTAGGAAATACAGCCCTACAAATAAAACCCTGGCATGCAAAAGTCCACCACAGTTATTTTGGCAACATATTAATAAATAAATAAATAAATAAATGAAGCTGGAGAGGTAGTACAGTGGTTGAGGCACTTGCCTTGCAAGTGACCAACCTGGGTCCAACCTCCAGCATCATCTAAGGTCCTCTGAGCATTGCCAGATATGGGCCCCCCAAACAAAACGATTATTTTACACATATGGCCTCCTAGGCTAGATTTTGTACCCAGTGATTCTCAGCAACAAAGAGATCATTATCCTTGTATTTATGGATTGACACTTCCAGGGAGTGAAAGGAATAATTAGCACAAGGGTGAGGGGAAAAGCTGGGAACAAGGGTGGAGGGAGAAACTGAGCAAGGTGCATGAACAGGAGCAATAAAAGACAATTTAAATAATAAGTTGACAGCAGCTGGAGATAAGCAGTAAGCTAGCAAGGGCAGTAAACACTAGCACCTGCCCTCTCACTGATAACCAGGCAGCCTGCACGAGACATTTAAATGACAAGGACAGGGCACCGGTGTCAACCTGCTTTAGGTCAATGTTGTTGCGATTTTTTTTTTAAAGTTTCTCCCGTGAACACTTACATTTTCTGTGGTTCCAGTAATCACGTGCAATCCATCATACGTAGATTTGATGTACATTCCCTAGAGCGAATCATACACACACACAGGTTAATTTGATACTTCAAAACTCAACGGGAGGGGGAAAAAGGAGCAAGTGCGACTCAAACTTACAAATCACAAAAAGCAGGCCCTCTAGAACAACAAACATTTTCAAGGCTCCTGAGATACAGAGGTACCAAAATTCAAAAAGCAATGAAGGGAAATGAAACAACCGAGATAGATGGAAGAGAAAGAAATCAGAAATGAGTTTCTCTGACTATTTCACTCTGTCGTTCCTTAACATCACCCACATACCTTGACCCCTGACCACTGATGCTTCTCATCTGTCTCTTCTCCCCTCTGCCCAGGTCTTTCCTTCTCCTCCCTATACTTGGGAACCAAGGGTGATCTAGGCATCCCCCTTTAAACCATTGTATTTCCACATTCAGCTACTAAGCCACTGAATAGTACACCTTAAAATGGTAATTTAAAAAAAAGAAAAAAGAGAGAGAAATGACATCTCTTTGATCTGATGATGTATGAGCCTGATGCATGGCTTGCCTCTGGGCACACAGAATGAATGTAGTATCTCCAACATGCCCCAGGCTGTCCCCTTTCTTTGTCTCTTTGTCCACTCACACACCCCATCAGTTAAACCTGAGCTCGGTATCACGGCAGGTGACTTGGAGTCCCCCTTGACAGGACTGAGGAGCCAAGATGATTAAGGATCACATCGCAGGACCCCTCGATAGAAACAGTTCCGTCCACGGAAGGGACAGTGTCAAGATAAAACCACTTCTCGGAGGGGAATGTCCTCTCTCCAAGACTTTTCCGCGATTCAGCGCATCATTCTCAAAAGACTTTTGTTACATGGGAAAAGAACATAAAGAAACAGGCAGGGCAAAAGGAAAAATAGTGGCTCGTCTTGACCTCTCTGTGGTGACAACATAACACTGACCCTCCCTGCACATGCTCCTCCAGACCCTGGTCGTGCCCTACCTGCTCTCTTACGCAAATCAGTACATGTCACAGTGCTCAGGAGAACAACCTCAGCGACATACCTTTTCATTCTTCCCCTTTCCAGCCCTGGTCACCGGCAAGCTTACTCCTCTTCCCAGGGCATTTACTGGTGCCAGGCTACTGCCTGAAAGGCCAGTTTCACTTCTGCCCACTCTGGGTATTTCTCCCCTTCCATGCTGGACAATGAACACACCTGCTATGCTTCCCCATCTAACTAACATTATAACTAGCATCATCTGCACACCCATCTCCACTGCCCAGTAAATGTGTTGGGCCTTTGACTGACTCTGTCTTCTGATCTGATCACTCCCGCAGACACTCACCTGTCACACACACCTGCATCTCCCTGCCTCTGTCTTCCCCCAGCAACAGGAGCTGTGGCCCCCAGCGACCACAGCAGCCTCTCGTGAGCTGTCACCTCATCTGACACTCCCCCCACCTCCCCACCGCTGGTGAGGCTAAGCATCCTATTAGTCACCCCCCTGACAGATAAGGAACCAGAGAGGTGAAAAGGTCAGAGCCCTGGAGAATTTAGTTCCAGAGCTCTCGGAGTCATGGATGGGTCTCCCAATTTCTGGACTCCATGCCCATGGGTACCACTGCTGCCTCGCACTAGAATGATCATAGCGCTGGCATGGATATGCGCAAGACCAGCCATGGAATCACAGCAGAAGTCGGCCAGGCCGTGAATAAAACAGGGCTCACCCAAGACTGATGAGACAGTTCTAAACTTGTGGGAAGAATTGTTTCCTTGCCCACAGTGCCCTCTCATGCTCCTCCCAGGTGCTAATGGAAACTTCCTGAACAGATGTTCTACTGTACTAGGGATCGTCCGTGCTTTGAGCAAATGCTCCAGAACCTACTTTCTCCTTGTCTTGCTAAGGCCTAAAAAAAAATCACACTGTGAAGATCAGTTCTTTGAGGTACAGAAATAGTTTGAAAATTGCATTTGTTTTTACATTTTGAAGACATGAAGCATATCCGGGCCTGGAGCGATAGCACAGTGGGTAGGGTGTTTGCCTTGCATGTGGCTGAGCCGGATTCGATTCTTCCGACCCTCTCAGAGAGCCCGGCAAGCTACCGAGAGTATCCCACCTGCACGGCAGAGCCTGGCAAAGCTCCCCGTGTCATTTTCAATATGCCAAACACAATAACAACAAGTCTTACTTTGTGTTCCTGGAGCGAGCAAATGCCATTGGGCTACACTAGCATGCAACAGGAACAATGGAGAAGCTGTTGGTGCCCACTTGATCAAACTGATGATAAAACGGGACAACAGTGCTACAGTGAAGTGCTACAAAAGCATACCCACAGAGGTCAAATCCCTAACTTTCTAGAAAACCATCTGAGTGAGTCATCCCAAGCAGGAGTCTCGGGAAAGACACAAACACAAACACACACTGTCCTCCCGTTGTTCATCGATTTGCTGGAGTGGACCCAGTAACATCTCCATTGTGAGACTTCGTGTTACTGTGTTTGGCATATTCAATACTCTCGTAGCTTGCCAGGCTCTCCGAGAGGGGCGGAGGAATCGAACCTGGCTCAGCCAGGCTGGCTACGCGCAAAGCAAACGCCCTACCACTGTGCTATCACTCCAGCCTCGCTTCGGCAGCACATATACTAAAAACTGGGAAAGACACAGGAACTAATTTTATGAATGAATGCTGGAAGAAGGAACGGCAGCTTTAACTTTCAAATGGAGCAATGTGGCCAGAGTTCTTACCAGGCCCTCCCCGGGCTTAATGTTGGGTAGATGCACCTCCTGCAGACACGCACACTGGCTCATGACAGGATCGGTGGTTGAACGGATTGTTTTGTCACAAATGCTATTTAAGACCTTGACCTAGAGGGACAAAGAGGCAGGAATGGCTCAATCATTAACCACGTTGACCTCAAGCTGACTTTCAAAGAAATGCACTTCACCTCTCATCTTTAGCTCGGTGCCGCCATTACTCTGATAATATTGCTCAATGAACACAGGGCATCTGGGCCCCGTGTTTACCCTCTGTAGGAACGGGGCTCCGATTTCAGCTCTGCTTGAAGCAGGGCAATTTTCTATTAACTCTGTCGGGATCACTGCCGAGTACAGGGCCAGACTTGGACAGAAGTCCTTTCAGCAGTTAGAATCATTCATGGCTAGGTCCCCGTGCGGCGTCTAAGTGATCACTCCCCTGCTCGACACCAAGATACAATTGGGGAAAAAGACATCTTCTTTGTCTTCGCTGGAGAAACAATACAAGAGTTAAGGCACTTGCCTCCCATGTGACCAACCCTGGTTGGATTCTCAGCACCACATATGGCCCCCTGAGTCCCTCCAGGAATGGTCCCTGAGCCCAGTTAGAGGTAGGCCCTGGGCACAGATGGGTGTGGCCCCAAACAAAAATTGCAGTTTTTTCTTTTTTGATAACTATTACCGTAGAGCAATTTTAGGTTTATGGAAAATTCAACAGAATCTGAAGAATTCCTATAAACTGCCTCTCCCACCCTAGTGCCCAGTAGTTATCACACACTTAAAAAACAAGATATACTATCACAAATCATGCAGTGTACTTCTTGAAACTTATTGAGATAGTAATATTAATAAATCTGGAGCTTACAATCGAGCTCACTTTTTTGTGGCCTACAGTTGTGAGTTTTGACAAATGCACAAGGTCACCTTCCCACTAGTACAGTATGATATCCGAAAACTGTTCTTTCAGGCATCACACTGAGTTCAGTACAATTCCCTAAACAACACTTCCAACCACCCTAAAAATCTTTTGTGTTCATCCTGTTCCTTTTTCTTCCTTTCCCAACTACAAATTCCTGGAAACCACTCAGCCTTTTTCACTTTCCATCTGGTTTTATCCTGTCCAGACTATCAAATAGAATTGTACACCAAGCAGCATTTCACACTGCCTTCTACCACAGAGCTATATGCCTTTGAGTTTCTTCCATATCTGTTAGTGGCTTGAGAGCACATTTCTTTTCTGTGCTGAATACTATTCCATTGCCTAGAGAGGCCAGAGAGGACTTTTGAGTTGTTCCCAATTTTTGACCTTTATCAACAAGGCTTCTGTAATATTCTGTGCAAGTGATTTTGTGGAGACAAGTTTTCCATTTACTTGTATAAAGACTGTGGAGTTCGATTGCTACTTTCGTCCCCTCTTATGGTAGGGTCGAGTGTGCTGAGTTTAGTAAGATACAGCCATGCTGTCATCCCAGCAGCCGGATCTACTTTGCTTTCCCAGCAGCAGTGACTGTGTGGGTCTCTTTAGTCTACATTCTTGCCAGCATTGAGCAGCTCTGCATTTAGATGGCAGCATTCTAGCTGGTGTGTCGCAGAAGCTCATCACTATGTGAATCTGCAGTTCCCTAGGGAAATAAAATTGTGAACATCTTTTCCCAAAAAGTCTCTGCCGGCTGTGACTCTGTCTTGGTGCAATCTTTAGCCTACTGTTTAATTGGCTGATCTGTTTTCTCATTGAGTTTTAAGAGTTTGGGGACATATTTCAGAGAAGGGATTTTTTGGCAAGTCCCTTATCTGAGAGGTGTTTGGAAAGTTTGCAACTAGTCTGTGGCTTGTAACTTTCATTCCCAGAACAGTGTGTCTCATGAACTATTACTACTTTCCTTTGTATGAAGTCTACCTAACTCATTTCTCTTCATAAATCTTTCTGCATATCTGAAATCTCATTGCCAAGCCTGCGGTCAGCAAGATTTTCTCCGGTTAGCTTCTAATTTTAGAGAACTGCACTTAAAATGTCAGACTACGATCTTTTTAATGATGGTTCACTTTTTTCTAAACACCAAACTCTGAAAAGGTAAAATATTAGAGACAGGGGTCGGAGGGACAGAGGTACAGAGGGTAGAATGTTTTCCCTGACACATGTCAGACACAGGTTGAATCCCTGGCACCACATATGGTCCCTTAAGCACCGCCAGGAGTAATGCCTGAGTGCAGAGCCAGGACTAAACCCTGAGTACCACTGAGCCACTGAGTATGGCCCAAAAACAAAAAAAATACTGGAGACAAGTAAAGATCCCGTTAAGTGGTCTGCATGCAGAAATCACCACTAGATATACGTGGTTATTCACCCCATTCACATCCATCGACCTTCCCAAATTAAACCACCAACAAAATCAGGAAATTCCAGAGTGATATTGTTTTCCAAGGGGGAGAATCCAAGTTCTGACACTTTTTATATACCTCCAATTTGTTTCGCCTCCCTATTTATGGCACATTCATATTTATAGTCATTTCATCGCTGAACTCAACATGAGGAGGAGGAAGGTCTTATCAAAAGAGCTCAGACTGGCTTGTGTCAAAAGGAGGAAGTGATAACAAAAGTGGCAAAACGCTCTTTAAACAGCCACAGCCCTCCCTCCCCCTCATCGGGGTTCTGCCCAAAAGACATTCTCAAATCAAAATGATCCTAACGTGAAACTTGCAGATCAGTTTAACCCTGACAAACAGGCTGTGATTCAAGTACCCCTGTGCCCATGAAAAGTCCCAGCAGTGAGACTCAAACTGAGACTCAAACCAAAAGACAGCAACCCCACCTCATTTTATAAACGTAAGAAAGTGCAGGATCGCCACCGTAGTTGGTCTTGTTGCTAAGTGACTTGAATTCTTCTCTTTCCATCTTATTGAAGAGACTCATATCCCAGACATCAACATTTCAAAATATCTCCTGAAGAAATTGGCCCCACTGTGGAGTGACTTTGACTCATCGGATGCCCAGGGCCTCTGGGAAAAGCATTTAACAACTTCCAAAATGGATACTTACTACAGTTAAAACTTTATCCTCCATTTCTGCTACAGGGCAATCCTAAAGAAAAAAAAAAGGGAAGAAGACAAATGAAAATTAAATGTAAGAGCAAACACCTTGGGGAGCACCAGCTGAGCTGTCTGGTCCCTGACACACTGTCCTACATTTTGGAGAGGAACCTGGGTGGAAGAAAGATGGCAAAGGGGAACTGATGCTGACACTGATGCTAAAAGAGAACGGGCCCTTCCTCTCCTGACCCAAGGAGTTTGGCGTGCCCAGACCCCACCAATCTGAAAAAAAAAACACAGAAATCAGTGAATTGAAATCTACCTACAATGCAGACCGTACAGAGAACAGTTTTAAAAGGTGCCAGTCACCTGCCCACCATTCCCCAAAGGTGACCCCAGCGCAGCCACCCGCCTCCTCCCCAGCCCCCAGTAAGCCAAGACTCTATAGCTCAGGGCCTCCTAGAAGAATAGTTTTTCAAATAAGGGCTTGAGTAAACTCCGCCACAAACGTTTATTTTAGGCACCACCGAGATTAAATCAGATATTCCAATCCTTAAGAGATGAAAAAGGTTCCACAAAACATTCATTAACACGCTGCCAAAAAAGTGGTCTTGAGGTATGCTATTGATGGCATTTGAACAAAGGGCTGGAATTTGGCGCATTGTTTCCTCAGCTTCAGAACAAAACATTCGGAACATCTGAGCCGGGTGGACTGTAAGACTCACCATTGTTCGTCCCACAGTTGCCTGAGTGAAAGCGCCAACGTGAAGCTCTCACCATCCACCTTCCTGCCCCTGCCTAGGGCCAATTTCAGTCTACACGCAGAGGACATCAGCTGTATTCTCTAGTGTCTGTTCAATGACCTTTGGGGTAATCCCGGCTGCCTTGTCTTATGGAAAATGTGAACTAGTCCATGCATGAGAAAGACGTTCATCAACTCTGCTGCAGAGTCACAGAGTTTCACTTCAGTCAGAAAGTCATTTTAGGGGTCAAAGAGGCAGCTCAAAGGACATGGGCCGCATGCTACAGGCCTGGGTTAGATCTCCGGCAGTACCATATGGTCCCCCTGAGCACCACCAAGAGCACCCCCCACTCCAAGCCCCCTACCAAGAACAGCCTCTGTGTAATGCTGGATGTGGCCCCAAGACAAGACCACCACCCCCCAAATTAAGCCACTTTTTACTACTGCTAGGATTTTGAAGTAGAAATAGCTACCAAATTCCATCTTATATGACCTGACACTTAGATTTGGGGTATCTGCTTCTAAAAAAAAAAAAGTTTAACTAGATTTTAAAAAAAGTGATAAATGGTAAGAGCTATTCTACTGCTCCCCCAAAATTTTTTCTTCTCGAGAAAAGAGGAGTTGAGTGAGAAAACACTGACAAAAACGACAGTTGGAGATTCTATTTGCCATGTGTGGGTCTGATAGAAATTCAAATTACAAGGATGACTTTCATGGCACGTGAGCAATAGTAGCTCAGAACTGTGCTCAAACTCCTCCAACTTATGCCCAGACCAAACCATTAGCTCCCGAGATGTTGATGCATCCTCAGGGATGCGCTGACCAAAGATCACAAGGATGCAGCAAACGTGAGGGTTGGTGAGATAGTACAGTGGGTAGGGCAATTGCCTCACACACAGCTGACCCCGGTTAGATCCCTGGCAGGGCATCCAGTCCCCCAGCACCTCCAGTTGTGGTCCTTGAGGCACAGAGCCAGGAGTAAGCCCGGAGAGCTACCCTCCCCAATTTTGTTCAATAAAAAAATAATGAACTTGAATCTCAAAAAAAGAGAATCCTGCTGTGGTCTGGGACAGAATCATTCGCACTGATGTTCTTTCATGGAAAGTCCCTTCGTGGTAAGCACGTTGTCATTCCCCAGAGAAACCTGCTGCCACAGAGGCACTGTCCCTCTCTGGACAGCCCAGGCTTCCAGGCAGATGTGGGGCTGGTCTGATGCCCTGTCGTGGACCCAAGCAACCACTAGATCCCAGACTCCTAATGGAGAGGGAACCAACGGGCCAGAAACGCTCTTCCAATTTGCGCAACTGTCCAGGTCGGCGTGTGAAAGGGCTCGTTTACTACCTTCCACGCCATGAATGTGGGTTCCCACACCCGTTTCTACGGGAGGAAACAGCTGCAGTGACTTCATCTTGTTTAGCATTGAAGGCGATGGAGGGAGGAAAAGTGTTGGAACCAACTCCGGCCCTCATGAGCTGTCCTGTCACATCCCCATCACCTGTGTCTATAGGCAGACACGGGCCAGACTCCTGAGCAGAGACCCAGCCACCCGGCCAGCTCCCCAGTGTCCCTTCCACCTGCTACTCTCCCTTGCTCTCTCTTCTCCCTAAGTAAAGTAGACTCGGACATTTCTGAGCCCAGACATAGCTCTGGAGCAGGAATGATTCCTTTCCTACAAACAGGAATGACGAAAGAAAGAAAGAAAGAAAGAAAGAAAGAAAGAAAGAAAGAAAGAAAGAAAGAAAGAAAGAAAGAGGGAAGGAGGGAGGGAGAAAGGAAAGAAGGAAAGAAAGAAAGAAAGAAAGAAAGAAAGAAAGAAAGAAAGAAAGAGAGAGAGAGAGAAAGAGGGAGAGAGGGAGAGAGGGAGAGAGGGAGGGAGGAAGGAAGGAAGGAAGGAAGGAAGGAAGGAAGGAAGGAAGGAAAGAAGAAAGAAAGAAAGAAAGAAAGAAAGAAAGAAAGAAAGAAAGAAAGAAAGAAAGAAAGAAAGAAAGAAAGCAGGCAGACAGACCCCTGAGAACAGCTGAGAATTCAATGTGACAACACATGTCAAGGGTGTCGCATGCACCTGGAGACAGCCAGCACTTGCAGATCGCCTGGTGGTGCCTCCCCGCTGCGGGGTGGGCTTCTCGCTGAGCTGTTGGGTCCCTCCGCTCCCTGATTCTTACAGTCTGGGCTTCAGCACCTGCCGCTGTCATTGCACATCTCGCCACTATGACAAGCTTTCAGGGGGGATAGGTCGGAGATCATAGCCCCCCTCCTTTCTGTCTCTGTTTCTTGCATCTGAAACACAGCCTGGAAAAAGTCGAGAGGTCTCATTGCTGACTTGCTGTGGGACTATGGGGAGGGGTGCTCAAAAGTAGCCTGTGGAATCTCATCTGGGGCGCCCCAGAGGGGGGCAGGTGAGCCCGCCACTTACCTCTGGACCCCAAAGTCACCATCCAGTCAAAAATTTTAGTCTAGCTGTATCACCCTTTTTAAAAAATTAGAATTCGTTGCCCCACCACAGAGACAAGGTGGGGTGGAGGGGACAGGGTGGGGGTGGTGGGAGGGATGTTGGGACCATCCGGTGGTGGAGAATGGGCACTGGTGGAGGGATGGGTACTCCATCATTGTATGAATGAAACGCGAGTACGGAAGTTTGTGAGCCTGTAACTGTGCCTCATGGTGATAATAAATAAATAAAATTTTTAAAAAATGTAGAATTCCTGGAGCCACATCTCATACTCTACACCACTGGAGTGCCAGGAGTAGCACACCACACTGCTTGGGATGTAAAGTAGAAAGAAACCAATCTCGATTAAAAAAAAAATACTAGCAAACAACACGCAGCCTGTAACAACATGTTAGTAATCTCTTATCCAAGGGCCTAATGGCTCCAGGGTGAGATACAATCTTCACACACTTTCTTCTAAGGAAACCTTTTAAGCTTATTTGTAGAGAATTATTCATTATTCAACAAGCAACACAAAATAAGCTATGTAGGGTCTGCTATTGGGGCAGACGTGGGTGGTGGTTAGGAAAATTCGAAATGATGGTGGTGAAAAGGAATATTCGAAAAATGGCGGTGGGATTGGTGCTGGAATAGTGAATGCAATAAATTATTGTGAACAGCTTTATAGAAATAGTTTTTATAATAGCAGCCTTTTTTCCCTATTTCCAACCCAAATAGGACAGGAAAAAAAAAAGATACAACTCTGCAGGTCAGAGAGATAGCATGGGGTGTTGAGACACTTGCCTCACATGTGGCTGACCCAGTTCAATCCCCTACAATGCATATGGTCCCCCAAGCAGAGGGACCCCTGCCACAGAGACAGAAGCAAGCCCCAAGCACCAGGTGGGGTGCCCTCCCCCAAAACTCAAAAACATAAAACAAAAATAGAGACCCAAGAAATTATACAGGGACTAAAGCATTTGCTTTGCATGCCCTGTCTCAGCCAATCCTAGTTGGAACCCTCAGCATTACAAATGGTCCTCTGAGCATACCAGGGGTCACTCCTGAGCACAGAGTGAGGCACAGCCCTCAAGCAGTGGGGGTGGAGTGGGGATGACCTGACCCAAGCCCCTCCCCTCTTCATTCTTGCCCCTGCAAAAAAAGTGTTGCAACAACAATGCATCTATCAAATTGGGACACTCACACATTATCCTTATAAGGAAGGATGCACACCCAGTGCCAAGGAAGAGGGAAAATGGACCCATGTGGAGAAGGAGAAAAAGGGCAGGCAGAGGTCTCTCCCCAGGCGTGAAGACCGGAGTCTCAACAAAAACACTGCAAAGACACAAATTTTATTGCTTCAATTCCCCAGTGGAAATGGGGAGAAATGGAAAAGCCAGATGTCTCTCCAAAGACTCAACAGATTTGCCAAGATGTTGTGAGGAAACTGTACCTCACGCAGCTGTCAGAGGGAAATGCCTCCTGGCGCCGTTCTGCCATCACACACATCCCACACTTCACCCAGGTTTACTTCCTGTCTGGGTGAGCACCAACCCGCCAGATGCCCAGTGCTCTCCAACTGCCAGACAAATGCATGTTCATCAGAAGCAAACTGTGTCCCCAATTGAAGCTCGTGAAAGGAAAGCCCTGTGGTAATTATGTTCTACCCAACATAACCTTTAAAAATATAAAGAGGGGCTGGAGCAACAGCATGGCGGGTCAGGCCTTAGCCTTGCACGTGGCCTACCCGGGTTCGATTCCCAGCATCCCGTATGGTCCCCTGAGCACCACCTGGGTTAATTCCTGAGTGCATGAGCCAGGAGTAGCCCCTGTGCATCGCCCGTTGTGACCCCAAAACCAAAATAAAATAAATAAATGAAATAAAAATATAAAGATTCTTCCATCCCCCCAAATTCTGGAAGCCACAGCAGCCATGGCGACCTGCTGCCACATTGGCTCACCCACTGAGGTCCTTGGTCCTGCTGCCAGGGGGACGAGCAACAGGAGAGATCAATTATTCCATCAGCTGACACAGTCAAGAACGGGAGCTGACCCATGCTCAGGGAGATAATGTAGGAATAAGCTGCAGGGTTCGGAGGCTTTTTGTCTCTACCTCATAATCCAGCGCTTCCTCACCAGTAAACCAGAGGTCAACACGGGGGGAAAAAAAAATTAAGCAGGTGACAGGAGGAGGCACCCGGACCCTGACTCAACTGAGATTTTCTGACTCCAGAAATTCCATCTACAAAGTAGATAGCACAGGGGGTTTAACGCACTGGCATGGCACGTGGCCATCCCCAGCGTATCCCCCACATCTCATAGGTCCCCCTTAAGACCTGAGAACTGCCTGGTGAGGGCTCCGCAAAAATCAATCAATAAATAAAATTTAAAAAAAAAAATGAATCAGGGCTGGACAGAGAGCACAGTGGGTAGGGCGTTTGCCTTGCACACGGCCGACCCGGGTTTAATTCCCAGCATCCCATATGGTTCCCTGAGCACTGCCAGGAGTAACTCCTGAGTGCAGAGCCAGGTGTGACCCAAAAAGCAAATAAATAAATAAATAATGAATCAATGTGGGACTGGAGCTATAGCACAGCGGGTAGGGCACTTGCCTTGCATGCAGCTAACCCGGGTTCGATTCCCAGCCTCCCATATGGGTTCCCTGAGTACCGCCAGGAGTAATTCCTGAGTGCAAAGCCAGGAGTAACCCCTGAGCATCAGCAGGTGTGACCCCCCCCCCAAAAAAAAGAATCAATGTGCGATAATCATTTTCAAGAAAGCCCATTACGATTAACTCAATTATTTTCAAACAAAAGGCATTCACCTGTGATGTCAAGGTCACAGGTTCACAGAAATCTGAACGGGGACCTAAAAGCCCTTTATCCGCCTAGATATGATGGGGAGGGAAGTTGGGAAGGGGCTTCAGACCTTCAAGCAAATCCTTTGAACCAAGAGGCAAAGGCTCACGGGATGGTGGGGGGGTGGTGGGAGAGGAGTTCCCGATGCAGCCGGCTCTACCCACCTTTTGGACCGTGGTGGTCAGGTCCAAGCAGAGCTGGATGATCTTGTTCTTCGTCACTGAGAAATCAGTGACCCCTGTGAAGGGAGTCCTAGAGAAAGACAAAAAGTTCTTTCAGAAAAAAACCTGCAGGCCAAAGTGAGGAGCTGGAGCTCCCCCAGACCTCCACTGCTGGCTCCCTAGCACGGTGACCCCACAAGCTCTTCTGTGTGACCTGTTGAATCACCACCACTTCCTCTTAGCTCTCACTTAAAAGGGTATTCAACCAGCAACAGGAAAAACAGAATCGGGCAGCATGCCGTTTCCTGGATGGATGTAGCACATTTTGTGCCGAATGAAGTTAGCGGAAGGGAGAGGGTCAGAGAGTGAATGATTTCTCTCACGTGTGGGGTGGAAAGGTCCTGAGGAAGAGAACCCAGAGCTGGGCTACCCAAGGGAGCTGATGGCAATGGGGGAGATGAGGGGACAGGACAGGTGGGAGGTGGAGGGCCCTGAGGCAATGGTAGGGGGGATGTGAACACATGGTGAATGGGTAGTTAGAACACTAGAAGCCCGAAACCTTATCATGGAGCAATATTAGAAGTTGGTAAAGGTAAAGGTAAAGGTAAAGGTGATCCCGTTGATCGTCGATTTGCTCGAGCGGGCCCAGTAACGTCTCCATTGGAGACTTTGTTGTTACTGTGTCTGTCATATCGAATACTCTCGGTAGCTTGCCGGGCTCTCCGAGAGGGGCGGAGGAATCGAACTCGGGTCGGCCATGTTGGCCGCTTGTAAGGCGAACGCCCTACCGCTGTGCTATCTCTCCAGCCTTTCTATCCTAGAAGTTATCTATCTATCTATCTATCTATCTATCTATCTATCTATCTATCTATCCTAGAAGTTATCTATCTATCCTAGAAGATATCCTAGAAGATATCCTAGAAGTTATCTATCTATCCTAGAAGTTGGGATGCCTCAAATAAGCACAATAGTTTTAATTTTTTTTTGAAAAAGGGAAACTGTGCAGAGAGAATTAATATCCCTTCTGAAATCAACTCATGTGCTTCCTATTGACTGAACTTGCCATTGTGAATGATTAACCTCAGAGAAGCAACTCAAGCATCGCCCTGGGCTTGCCCTGAGGCTCACTGCCTATAGCTACCCACCTTCTAGTACCATCCACAAATACACCACAGCTCCAGGATGCCGGGGGCGTTCCACGGGGTGAGATGGGGCCCCCACAAGGTCCTGTCTGGAGGCCCCGCTCTCAGCCCTGCTCCCAGCAGTCCTTTCCCAAGAGGCCAAGTGTGTCCACAACTTACCGGTCCAGCCATGCCAGCAAGGCCTTGGCCGCCCCGATGAGCTCCACCACGGAAGTGAGGAACTCGTTGGGAGGCTTGTGGGAGGTGCCCCCATCATATGAGGGGCTTTTGCGCCGGCTACTTATGTAATTCTGCAAGTTGTGGGAAGAGGCTCGAAGCTTCAGGACCAGGTTCTTCATATTATCAGTTTCAAGGCCATAGTTCTGTGGGGGAACAATATCAGAAGGTTAAAAATCAAAGCTCACCAATAAAGCCCTAACCATGCTGTGACTCAAACGCTCACAGAGTGACCTGAAGGACTCCTTCTGCAGCCACAAACCCCTACATGATTTACCCACATGTGTTCACTGTTCCTTCCTGCCAACGTGCTCTCTCTGTAGCTCCCACGGCTTGCTCCTGCCCAGGGTTCCTCTTTCTGGACCGTTTCTCTCCCCGAGTCTAGTTAGGGACAGTTCATTCTGATTCCTCACTCCCTGGCCTCAACGTCCCCCTCCCCTTGGAAGCTTCCATAATTATCTACTTTGGTTTCTCCACAGGATCCTAGTGATATTTAAAGCCCATCAAGGTGGCGGAAAGAATACTGGGAACATTCGTGGTAGAGAATGGGCACTGGTGGAGGGATGGGTATTCGAACATTGTTTGACTGAAACAACATCACCAAAGTTTATAAGTCTGTAACTGTATCTCATGGTGATTCATTAAAATAAAAAAAAATTGTTTTAATTTTTTTTAAAAGTCCATCATTGGTCAGGGTAGGGGAATACAGAATGACTGAAGCAGGAGAACTTAGTAGGATGTCTGCCACTTGAGGGTAAGAAGGCCTGGCGTGTATGACAAACTGAGGAAGGAACCACAATGACGATGGTACAGGGAAGTCCAGAGGAGGATTGGGTGCTGAAAGGAAGTCACGTGACACACATGATCCCTGATGAGTAGCACTGTAGCACTGTCCTCCCATTGTTCAGCGATTTGCTCAAGCGGGCGCCAGTAACATCTCCATTGTGAGACTTGTCACTATGTTTGGCATATCGAATACATCACGGGTAGCTTGCCAGGCTTTGTCGTGAGAGCGAGATACTCTCGGTAGCTTGCCGGGCTCTCTGAGAGGGGCGGAGGAATTGAACCTAGATCGGCCGAGTCGGCTGCATGCAAGGCAAACGCCCTACCCTCTGTGCTATCGCTCCGGCTCAATCTGATGAGTAACAGTACTATAAACCACAACGCCTAAAAGGCAAAAGAAAACGGAGCTTGCAACAAGGCAATGGGCACATTGGTGCAAGGAGGTAGACACTGGTTGGAGAGCTGGGTGTCAGAGCAGTGTACACCTGCTACTCAATCATGGGTCACTTTGGAACTTGGTCATTCAAAAATGATTCAATTTTTTTTAAAAAATTAAATTAAAAATAAATAAAACCTGTAGCTTGTTTGGGTAGAGGAAAAATTCCTATTCCTTGCAGGATGTTTCTCTGGCTTCTACTGAGTAGACGTCATACCACACTCCCACTCCTGAGCGGTTCCAGCTGAAAATGTGGCTAGACTTTGCCAAATGCCTGCCTGCAGCTGCCCACACCACTTACAACCACCTTGTCTGCGTTGTTCCTTCACTGGGGTGCATGGCTGGTGAGAGTAATCAGCGCATTCGGGCCTGACACCAGCCCCGCTCAGTCAGTCGGTGACACGAGAAACCCGGCTGACACAGAACAAAGCAACGCTGACCGCACGGCCGGGATATCCCCGAAATGCATTTCTCCCTGTGGGGGTTTGGTTCTGGGTTCCTTCTAGACAACGGTGAGTGTCACTGTGGCTTTAATAAAATCCACTCCAAGTGACAATTAAAAGATGCCTGCCGAAAGTGGACTACAGACTGAACAAGAGGGCCACACAATGCCTCTATTGCAAACCACAACACCCAGAAGGAGAGAGAACAAAAGGGAATGGCCTGAGGCAGAGGCAGGGTGGGGTGGGATGGGGGGCTGGGGTGGGGGTGGTGGGAGGGATACTGGGAACACTGGTGGAAGAGAATGGGCACTGGTGGAGGGATGGGTAAAGACTCACTGTATGACTGAAATGCAAGTTCGTTAGTTTGTAACTGTATTTCATGGTGATTCACTGATAAAAAATAAAACAATTAAAAAAATTTTACAAAAAAAGAACCCCAAACAACCTTTCTTCAATTTTTTTTTAAGTTTAATTATATCTTCCAATTTTTCCCTTACACTATATATAAACACTGTGTTTTACAAAGTTTTTCATGATGTTTCATTACAGGCATTCAATATTCCAACACCAATCCCCCCACCATGACACCTTCCCTCCACCATTGTGTCCAATTTTCCCAACCATCCCTCAAGCCTGCCCTCACAGCAGGCCCTCGGTAATTGATTTAATGTTGTTTGTTATCAGTAATTTCCTAAGACATTTCCTAATTTCCGAAAACATTTCCAAAAATAGAAGAAAGTTAGTGAAGACTGCGGTAACTCACTTTGAAGCCAGTAAGTCTTTGTATAAGAGATCACTAAGATGCTGTTACAGGTGAAACTGTCTATGTTTCTATTTTGTTCATGGAGATTGGTTACCCTCTAGGTTACATTTCATCAATCTAGTGTGCTACTGCTGGTTTATAGCAGCGTGCGTGCAAACAACCTTTCAGATAAAAAGCAAATCTTGGGGACAGGGGCAATGTTCCAAGGGCTGGAGTGATGGTTTTGCACCCTGGAGCACCAGGCTCCATCCCTGGCACCCCATGTTCCCCAATCCCCCCACAGGGAGTGACCCCCTAAAACCAGTCCAGAGAAGCTCCAAGCATTGCCAGCTACAGCAAAACAAAACAAAATAGCAAATCTCAAGAAACAACAGGCAAATATTTGGGGGAGGACTGGAGGTGTTTCTATATTCAATTGCATGAACACACCCCAAGTCAATATATTATTATTTTTTAACATAAAGATATTGGGAGAGGAGGTATATTTCTCCGGGTCGGCAGGAGCCCACAGTGAGATTACATACCACTACAAACTCAGAAATGGCAGTACTAACAACACCTCTCTGCCAACAGCTCCTAGAAACAGTCTGTGAAGTGTGAAGGCAGATACGACACTTCCTCTAGTTGCCAGAGAACAATCGGACACAGACTCAGGACGTCCTCAGAGTGGGAGAGGGTTCTCCTCCACACTGAGGGTATGAGGTTCTGATGCGGTATACCCCAACCCCCTACCCCTTCACTAACAACAGCCTGAGAAAGGGCAAAAGTGCTAAGGAGAGAGAAAAAGAGAGAGAGAGAGAGAGAGAGAGAGAGAGAGAGAGAGAAGGAAAGAAAGTGCCTGCCATAGAGACATAGAAGCAGGGGGGTGGCAGGAGGGAAACTGGGCTCACAGGTGGTGGGAAACGGACACTGGTGAAGGGATGGGTGTTGGATCACTGTATGACTGAAACCCAATCATGAACAGCTTTGTAACTGTGTCTCTCACGATGCCTCAATTAAAAAAAAAGAGAGAGATTTAATTAATTAAAAACAAAAACATGCTAAGAAGCCAGAACAGATGGCATGGGATAAGGACACAGGGCGCTCACTGACCACTGATGCTAGCACAACTCACCAGCCTGGCCACTGGCCCAAGTCCATCCTGATCTGCTGCATTCTCTAAAGTACCAGACTGAGGGCTGGAGCGATAGGACAGCGGATAGGGTGTTTGCCTAGCACACGGCCAACCCAGGTTCGATTCCCAGCATCCCATATGGTCCCCTGAGCACCGCCAGGGGTAATTCCTGAGTGCAGAGCCAGAAGTGACCCAGGCCTGTGCATCGTCGGGTGTGATCCAAAAAAAAAAAAAAAATTTAAAAATAAAGTACCAGATTGGCTTTGCCCCTGGCGGGCTTCCTCAGAGGGAGGCTCTATTCTCTCTAGCTTCTGGTGCTCCTTCCAGACTTTAAAAACAGTTGTAAAGACATAGACACAATGTACACATATTTAAATGTCTTTACAGCATAAAAGCCAGCCGCAAATTGGTGGGAGTTTTATACTTTTAGCAAGATAAATGGTAAAAGCAACAACAAGGCAAGACTTAACACTAATGGAAACAATGCTAGCTTCAGAAACGAGATTTTATGTGAAGCTTAAATTTATGCAGCTCCTTTGGAAAATAACTTTTTAACAACTTGCAAGTTCGAAGAGTTCAGCACAAATATTTTATAAAACCTCCCCAGCTCCATTACATAAAATCTGCCTTGCGCAAGCTTAAAATAATAATAATAATAATAATGAGCAACTTGGATTAACAAGTATAGGCCATACAAACCTTGAATTCTTTCATTTTTTTTCTATTATTTTTCTGGAGACTAAGATATGACATTTCCTTCAAGTAGAGAAGACAAAACAAAAAGCTGATTTTCAGCCTGGCTTTTTTTTTTTAATTCAGAGAATTAAAGACTCTACCAATAAATCGATCAAGAGTCATGTGACACCACTTGTTTGGGAGGATTGGGGACCGTGATTAAAGAGAAATGTGTCCTCATTCAGTCAATTATTCAGTCTGCCAACTTCCATTAACAATCGTGAACTCAACCCAGGCGAGTCAGCTCTCGGCAGTGAATGCTGCCATAAATCACTCAGAACTTTATTATGGCGTGTAGCATTTACTTCTGGAACTCCAAGAAGATTAAATGCATGTTAGGGTTGCAAGATGTTTCAAACCTTGATTGTTTACAAACCTAGACCTTCTTGTCTTGAAATAGAGACGGGGTGGCTGCGATTTAACTTTTTTCCATCACCACTTAATTCACTCTGCATCTTCATTTTTCCCCCCTCAAAAACAAAATCACAAAACTAGAAGGACTGGGCGGGTGAGTTACAAACGAGCATAATTCTTAAGAGGAAGAAAGAATGAACAAAGTTAGCAAGGAAAACGCTTTTCCCTTCTCTCCACTCCACAATAAGGACAGAACAAGAAGCTGATTATATTAGCTCCAAAGAGCTGCAGAAACCTAATCAGGGAAGGGCTATTGACTTAAGTGCCTACCAGGAAAGACAGAAAATGAGTAATTTCTAGGCAAGATTTGATTATTTTCACTAGCCTCTGCCCTAACATGTGTCTCTGAGAAATTCTTTGAAGATAAAGTATCTGCAAGATACAAACTAAGAAGTTGAAGTGAGTCTCCAAAAATCAACACAGGTACCAAAAAAAAAAAAAAATCTTACTTTATTAGAAGGTAACCCTGGGGTTCATTTCCTGTTTGATGAGAGACATGGTACATAAGACAGAGGAAAAGAGAGGACTCTTGCTCTAGTATCTTAAACCAGCATTCTTCAGCTTTTTTATGGTTGAGGTACCTGTCATGAAGATGGGTCTATGGACTGACTGGAGGTTATAACCTCAGGGGAAGTCACATGGCTTCCAAACTTTCCCACCCTGTGTACCAACATCTATCTGTGGGCCAGTGGTTGAAGACCGCTGCTTTAAATTACACATGATTTTGTTATAAACAAATCATACACCGCTTGTTCTCTACTTCTCTCGTTTCTATAGCTCTGTTCCTCATTCAACACACATGACCAAGGAGTGTCCGGCACAAGCAATCAAAACTATCCTACTGACTGGGATTAATTCAGCTACAACCTATTGGCAACCAATCAGTTTTTTGAAAGGCATTTAATACATAAAAAAAAAAAATCGGGGCCAGAGAGGTAGTCCAGTAGATACGGTATTTGCCTTGCATATGGCTAACCCAGGTTCAGTTCCTGGCAGCCCAGAGGGTTCCTCAAGCACACCAGGAGTGATCCCTGAGTGCAGAGCCAGGAGTTAAGTCCTGAGCGTCACCAGGCATAGCCCCAAAACAAAAACAAAACCAAAAAAGATCAAGTAAAAGACCAACTGGTAGCAAAGATGCCTCTTCCTGCATGATCTCCCCCACCCCACCCCCAATGAAAGGATGCCACGTATTAAAGATTCACCATGAATGGTACATGATGAAACCCAAATTATGTCCGGGGAAGAAGCCCTTACAGGCACTTCTTTGAGTGGGGTGGTCTCACTAAACACATGAACATATTCAACTTTGCACACCCTCTCAGGCTACTCTGCTTTGAAAACACACCTGTTTCTGACTGGGCCTTTCGAAGGAAACGAGGCCCTGTTTGCCTGAATGAATGAAATGGTTTCTAACTATACATGGTGGCTCTCAGTCACTCCTCTAAAACACTATGACTCCATATAACTCTGCAATCTGAATCCTCTGTCCATCCTACCCAACTAGGGCTGCCAGCAACCACTAGCCATATGCAATAAATCGAGCCCGATTTCCATTTGAAATAATCACATGTGGCTAGCAGCTCTTTTTATTAGAGGGAAGAAAAATAGGGCTCATGGGGTTGGAGCGATACTATAGCAATTTAAGGCCTCGCCAGTGGCTGACCCAGGTTTGATCCCCGGAAGCTCATGTGGTCCCCCATGCTCCACCAGGAGTGGGAAGTAAACCATGAGCACACCGGTATGACCTCCCAAAATGAGGTTCATATTCTTGGATGTAATACTGTTTCTGTCTCATAACACAAGTCCTTTTCAGCCACCCAAATGGCCAAGTTCAAATGTTCACAGAGGAAGAGTCTCTCTCAATCTGGACCCGTGATTTGTGGTTCATCTATCCATGTTCTGGGGATTGTAACCTGCCACTGCTCCCAACTTTAGGTTCTTATCCATTCTACTTGCCCATTTTCTTTGAGAAACTAGCTCATGGTTTTCTTCTCTTCCTCCTCCTGCCTTCAAATTCTGTACTCTTCCTGCCCACCATAAAATTAACATCCACTAAACCTGAAGTTTACATTAAAACATCTTTCATAACACCAAGGCCAAATGGAAATAGCTTTTAACTGCCCTGGGGTAAAAATCTATTGCCTATTGATAAACAAAAAAAAGATCTCACTGGTATCAATGAATAGATTAATAAAGATGTGGCAAGACTATTTAAAGGGGAAATTCCACCAAGACTAAAGATACTTTATAAAACTCTTTAATGTCCTTCCCAGCACAGGAATGGCACCTGCATCTGCCAGGCACCCCATGACCCTGAAAAGTGCATTCTCATGACCCTGGGGAGCTCATTCACCAGCACTGAGCAAACGCAAAATGAGTCTGAGGTCAGAATTTGTCTACCAAGGAAATTAGAAGGAAATTGTAGGAGATAAAACACAGCCGTGGGTTCTGGCAGTGGTCCATCTTTGTTCACTGCAGTCAGATACTGTAGGAGGGGCCGGGGGTGCAAAGAGAGGCAGCTGGACCTCTCCCCCCCATCCCTCCTACTGCAGATTTCAAAATAGTTTACCTGATCTCAAAAGGAACACAGAAAAGCGAGGCATGTCAAACAGGAACAGAAAAATCCAAAACTAAGCAGGGGAGGTGGTCTCAGAAGACAGAATCAAAGCAAACTCAAACACACGGGACAATCCAGGACAGAATCAATGTGTACGTATTGGGACACAGCCACATCAGGGGAGTGTCGCCGCCAGACCCTGCAGTGTCCCTGGAGGACACAGAGAGAGGCCTGGACATCCATGCCTGCATCCAAACGCCACCGAGAGCCCGCCTCTCAGCGCCAGCGTCTCTGGGACGGCAGCTCATTCATCAACCGCCAGGAACTTCCCCATCACAAAGAGAAGCGCCGCTCCGAGCAGAAGTCGGGCTCTGTCCATTTTAAGAAGAATACACACAATGAAGCAAGTGTTATATAATCAACCAAAGGCCACGCCATAATAGCAAAATAAGCAGGAACACATTCTTTCCCACCATTCTCCCTGATGTAACTGTATATACCCTCTGGCTCGGCTTCTCAGCATTACTAACCCAGCATGAATGCTGGGCAGTTTATCCAAACCCTGACAGTTAAGGAAACTGCATCCTCAGCAGAGCACCGGGATGAATGACCTGGCACCCACCCCCTGCCCACCAGCAGTTTGTCAAGTGCCCTTTGCAGCTGGTGGGGCCTCCTCCCGCCCCCAACAGGTGCTGCCCATGCCATCACACGTGCTGGGCAAGAGGCAGGATTTAACTCACATGCAAGCCAAAGCTCGATCACCTGCAAGAAGGATCTGAGCTCACATTCCTTCCCAGCTCACATTTCACAGCTGGACTATGTCAGCGCGAACATCAGTTATTTCCATTTCAGTGTGAAACCCAAATGCTTTGCGAATAGTTAACAAGGGCAGATTCATGAGTCAGAACCCACTTCTCATATGTCCGTTTAGAAGATGGCATTTTCTTTCACAACCAACTTTTTATTCTTCATAGTACGAACGAAAATAACATATATATACATATATATATATATTTATCTTCCTTCTAGGAAAGGTAAGTTGTGTAAACAGCAAGATAGTAAATATTAGGACCTTTTGAGGATTTCAGCTGACATAAATTTTCAGCTCCATCCCTATAGCCTAAGGGTAGCCTCAGAGGATAACATTCAGAGGATACCATGAAAAAGCATTCGTGGCCCACGTTCCAATAAAACTTTATTTACAAAACTAGACAGTGGGCCAGATTTAATGCCCAGGCCATACTTCGAAAACTCTTAGTCCGTGACTTTTTTTCTTCCCTTCTTACATTATCTTGAGTTCAGCCTTCCCTCCAGGGGCTCATGAAGAAAATGAACACAAGGTATACCCCAAGCCAGGACTTTAGAGAAAAGGGCTCCCAATAAAGATGACCTTTTCCTGAACTAACCAGTGCACAGAGAAGGTCGACAGCCTCCAACACAAGCTCCTGGTGTCCGATTCGGGTGACGCCCAGCTCCTCCAGATCCTGATGGGAAATCTGTAGCAACTGTTCACCATTGATCTTCTCGCGTTCAAACTTGTGGACATATTGCTGCAGGCAATCATCCAACCCTACCGAGAAAGCATAAAGGTCCATGATTGTCACTGCATCACCTTCACCCAAAAACACAGTTCTCTAGTACATTGAGTTGTCTATTTCATGAGTATCCCACCTGATGGATACCTTTCAGGGATGGCCTCCTCTTAGACTTCTCCTGGACCAGCCCTGTTTTGTGATAGTGACCTTTCTGCTCTCTTCCATTTCTTTATTCTGACCCCCCCTCCAGTTCAAAAGGACTTGAAATGTGAGTTATTCTTGCCAACAGAGGTTTGTTCACTAAGCACCTCTTCCTCTGGGATGCCATCCTTCTCCCTGTCCTGGTAAGCCAGGTGCGTTTGCCAACAAAGATGCTTGCCACCAAGGTTGACCAGTATAGTCTATCCATAAGCTAGTTACCTGTGTAACTCCAACAGAACCAATGGAAATATTCCCTGATCCGTGATACATGGACAAAGATAACAGAAGTGACATCGTCCTTTCCAGCTAGAAAGCACACAGTCACACCTTAGGGATGCAGGCGGTCATTTATTTCATCCATTTGTGACAATAAATGTTCTGATAATATCCTTCAGTCCCCTGTACCTTCCCTGAGGATTTGTCACTGAAATTGAGCTGACTCTCATTTTTTAATTGTGCTTATGGTGAGTTTCCGAGTCATGCAAATGAAAAGTTCTGATGAATATTGGAAACAAAGGAGAAGGCACCAGCAGTAGCATGGGAGAAGGGGGATATCAAGTAAGTTATGTTGAGTTGAGGGAAACGTTTCCAGGTCCAATAGCACTGCCAGCGATATTGCATCCTGGCATTCTGGTATCATGATTCAATGAGGTAAGCTAAATAAAGCTTTGGCATCTTCATTTCTGGCAGAGAAGTCTCTGGTCAACTTGATTTGATGGCTTTACAATATTAAAAACTTACCCTCAATCAATAGATCTACTTAAGCCTCATAATAAAAACCAAGTTAATACTTGAAGAGAGTCCAGTGATATCACTTCAGTCCCACCACAATGAAAATTCCATTTAACTAAAATGAAGTATGTAAAAGGTAAGTCCACTTCCCTAACACTGACGTTCAATCTCCCTCTCCCTTTTCCCCTCCCTCTCTTCCTCTTCTCTCTTTCTCTCACGCAAAAATTCTATTTTGTGGGTACTCAGGATGAGAAAGAATGGCCCACGTACACTCCATTCTTTCATCAATAATAAATTCTTGGTACTTATGTGTGACATTCTGGGCTAAGCAACATCGCAGCAGACAAATTTCTCCCTGAAAAGAGGTCTGAAGGAAAACAACATCCTGAGGCTTATCTGCAACTCTCAAATACTATGAAAAAGCAGTAAGAAAAAAATAACTATGATCACCAACTGGAAGCGACATTCTCCCAAAGTGACATGTCTGGCAAAGAAGCTCTGCCACGTGGAACTAGATTAGATCCCTGATGCCCTAATGCCACTTCGAGAGCCACAAGGGGCCTGTGTGCAGGTGAGTGGGGCAGGCGAGGGAGGTCACATCAGGCCACGGTATTGACACCACCTGGGCTGTAGAGAGTTTCAGTACCAGCCACCCACAGAGACGCCATCTGCAACCGACAGTGTGACATATGACAAGAGTCCAATAGGAATATCAAGTCACAATTCTAGGTGCATGTAATGGATGAAGAAATTCAGCTCACGGATGATACACATGCTATCCCTGACAAAGCAAGTAAGGGGGCCAAGGTAGGTTTCTATTTTGCTTGCTCTGTTTCTGGGCCACACCCAGTGATGCTCAGGACTTACTCCTGGCTCTGTGTTCAAGTATCACTCCTGGGGATGCTCGGTGCACGACATGTGACCCCGGGGATAAAACTGAGGACAGTGGGGCTGGAGCAATAGCACAGCGGGTAGGGCGTTTGCCTTGCACGCAGCCGACCCGGGTTCAATTCCCAGCATCCCATATGGTCCCCTAAGCATCGCCAGGAGTGATTCCTGAGTGCAGAGCCATGAAGAACCCCGAGCATCACCGAGTGTGACCCAAAACGAAAAAAAAAAAAACCCACAAAAACAACAACAACAAAAAACCTCTGAGGGCAGCCATATACAAGACAAGTCCCTTAACTCCTGTTCTATCTCTCTGGCCCATTTTCTTCAATAAAATATAGAAAAGCACAAACCCAAGCAAGGTCTGTGGCAAAAGAAGCCCTGTTCCACAGGAGTTAGAAAAATAGAAACTTAGAAATAGTTAGAAGTCATCTCAAATCGTATTGAGTTCACAGAATCGGGAGGGTGCAAGCAAGAGTGATGATGGAGATTTTTACCCTAAATCATTTAACCATTTCTAAGCCAAATCCCCATCCAAGCCTAGCTTTTTCTTTCCTTCCAGAACCCTCTTCACTTTTCTATTTTGAAGCTTTCAAGGGGGTATCTTTGTTTAATTTGCCATGAAAGTTGAGGATAACTGCTCTAAGTATTTAAACCTTGTGATAGCTGAACTGCATGTCGCCAAGATTCCTTTGTTGAAGTCATAAACCCCAGGAACTCAGCATGTGACTGTATTTGGAGATTACAACTCTCAAGGGGTGATTAGATTAAAAAGTTGAGGTCATATGCATGAACCCTAATGCCACAGGCCTGTGTCCTTATAAGAAGACACAGAGGAAAGGAGCTGGAAGAAAGGGAAAAGAAGGTCATGGACCAGTAAGGAAGAGGGGCTCAAGAAGAAACCCACCCAGTTGACCTGAACCCCAAATAAGGAGCTAGAGTCAGCAGGACTGGAGTTCAGGTTGACGCTACCAGGCAAATTCATTACTAACACTCAAGCAAAAAGCAGATACTTCATTTTCATGACCCAAATACAGGAGTCCAGGGGCCCAAACAATAATAACATTAATTTGGGTGTCTGCCATGCACAGGGCCACTCTGGGCTCAGTCCTCTGCATCCCAATAGTCTCCTGAGCACTGCCAGGAGAAATCCCTGGATGCAAAGCCAGGAGTAAGCCCTGTGCACCACTGGATGTGGCTCAAACATACACGTGCAAAAAAAAGGAGTTCATTAAAATTAAAGATTATGATACTCTTGATTGCCCTCTACTAAATTAAGGAAAGCCTGTTTAGTCCTAGCTTGCTAAGGAATTTTATACTTTTCCAATAATAAGTTAATATTTCATTTATATTGAATGTGCTATGTTTATTCAGGTGATTTTGTTACATTTATAGATACAGTTTTTATAAGCTATTACTTATTAATGCAGAGGCTTAAGCAGTATCTATAATTGGTTCTAATATAAAGGCAATATTCCCCCTTTTAGGATTAAAATACATTATTATACTTTTACAGGCCTACAGTTACTTTCCCTTAAGTTTTTTTTTTTAAGAAAAACTTCTCTCCCCACTATTACTAAATTGTACACCCACAAGACTGATCTACTTCATGTTAATTTTGAAATGTAATTTCTAAATATTCTACAACAGAAAGGTTGAAAAATATTTTTGAAAAATAAAGTTTCTTGATCAACTTCTCATTAACTCACAATGTAGAATTTCAGGACTTTGGTGTTATTCATCTATATGTGTGTTATCACCTCCACATTAATTTTTAAAAAAAAAAACAAAGCTCTCAAAAAAAAGTTATAAGAAACTATGCACAATGAGGTCTCATTAGCCTTCATCCCTGGATCAAAAGTAGACACTGAGATGACTTCTCTTCCTCTTTCTTGGGGGAACTGTTGCTGAACACATAGGTTCGGATGCTGTTCTAGAATGTCATGAACTACTCTGGCCGCAGGGAGAAGGATGAGGAGGGAGAATGGTGAGGGTCCCAGGGAGGATGGCAGGCCCAAGTGATCAGGGATTGAGACCCTGAAGAGCACAGAACCTTCCCCAGAAATAGGACCAGCCTCCCCTTGAGGATCCCAAGAGAAAGCATAGGCTCTAACCTCAAATCATGCAAAGATCCTGAGATAGAGGGAAATGATCAAGTCGCTACCCACCAAAAAGCACACCCCAGCGTGACTTCACCCTCTCCACTCAGGGACTCAAAATGCTTGTTTTTCAACAGCAATGTCCTTGGGCCTCAGCAACAGCACAGCAGGTAGGCCAACCCGGGTTCGATCCCCAGCACCAACGTATGTTCCCTGAGCCTGCCAGGAGCGATTCCTGAGTACAGAGTCAGCAGGAAGTCCTAAGCATGGCGAAGGATGGTCCAAAAAATTAAATAAATAGCAATGTCCTCAAGTTTTATTATTCCAACACATCATGGCCTATTGTTTCATTATCCTATTGTTCAGGACACGAGTAAACATTTATGAATACAGTCCAGTTAAACTCTCACACCATACCAGAAAGGAAGAGAAAATCCACAATTTCAAGCAAACTGGTTTGGGAACTTGCCATAAGTGCTACACAAAACCTATTTGTCCACTGTGGCCATTTACCATTTCCTTGCTCCAGGGCACTTATAGAAAGCCCCACTGAACAGTGGGAAACACAGAATTAAATAAAATTAGATTAGGCATAACCCTCTGACACAAACTAAATTAAACACATAATTCCATGGGAAAGAATCATGGAGGCAGAGAGCTCCACCAGAGAATGGAAGCTTCCGGAAGGAGCACAATTCATCCCTTCTCCACTGAATCCCAGTCTGGCCACAAATCCTTCAAAGATATTCCTGGGGGGTAGAGTGATAGCACAGCGGGCAGGGCCTTTGCCTTGCACACAATGGACCCGGGTTTGATTCCCAGCATCCTATATGGTCCCCTGAGCACTGCCAGGAGTTATTCCTGAGTGCAGAGCCAGGAGTAACCACTGTGCATGGCTGGGTGTGACCCAAAAAGCAAAAAAAAAAAAAAAGATATTCTTCAAAGACGGGAAGGAAGAGAGCTTCTCTCACTCTAGAGAAAGATGAGAACTAGTAGGAGCCTGAGACCCATATAATCCCACATGGTGGGAACTGGGAGCAAAAGCAAGACACTCAGCTCCTCGCTGTGAAAGATGGAATATTACTGCAAGACTACTGCCACTGCCACTAACACAT